TTTTCCAAATTCTGGCAAGTGTGTGACGTCCATCTGCCAAATATGGTTAGGTATCAATCCTCTAGGATTGACTCCAAGATTAACTTGTGGTAAAAAGGTCACACAATTTTGACATTGTTTTATTATTTGTCTAGCTTGTTCCTTAGTTATTTTAAAGTGCTTTTGTAAAGTATTAGCATTGACATGGAACTTTTTATGAAAATTTATAGCTTCTTCTAGTGTAGAGAAAATATGTATGTCATGTGTAGTTTTATCTGCTAAATCATTGCCCAAACTAAGGGCTCCAGGCAATCCTGTATGTGCCCTGATATGTCCTATAAAGAATGGATCTTTTCTGTCCCAGATTAGACTTTGTATAGTGGAAAGCAAAGAGAAAACAGTAGAAGAAGGGGAAATCCTACCAGCATCTTCAAGAGATACTATAGCATTAACTACATACTGACTATCAGAAAATAAATTAAATACAGAATCTTTAAACATCACAAAAGCTTGTAAAACTGCATTAAGCTCTACCTTTTGAGCTGATTGTTTGGGTACTAAAAATGTAAAAGTTTGATCAGGGGTAACTACTGCTGCTGTACCATTATTTGACCCATCAGTGAATATATTTGGAGCATTCATGATAGGTGTTTTTCTTGTCAATTTTGGAAAAATTACAGGATGCAATGACCAAAAAGACAATAAAGGATTAGATGGTAAGTGGTTATCAAATGAAACATTAGATTTGCACATGATTATTGCCCAAGTATTTAACTCATTAGCTAACTCATCAATTTGATTCATAGTATATGGAGTAATAATTTTATTGGGAGAAATTCCAAACACTCCCTTTGCTGCTTTTATTCCTTTGAGTATTAATTGTCCTACAGCCTCAGGATACCTAGTAAGAATAGTGTTAGGAGAATAAGATAAATGTATCCATAATAATGGACCTTCTTGCCAAAATACTCCTGTAGGAATATTTTTTGTTGGTAGTACAATAAATAATAAAGGCAAACTTATATCAATTCTATCCAAATGCATATTTTCCATATATGTTTCAATGATTTTTAATGCCTTTCTTGCTTTAGGCGTTAACATTCGGGGTGAATTTGGATCTGATGGACCTTTTAGGATATCAAATAAAGGTCCCAACTCTCCTGTTGGTATACCTAAATAAGGCCTTATCCAATTTATGTCTCCTAATAACTTTTGAAAGTCATTAAGTGATTTGAGTTGATCTACTCGTATTTGAACTTTTGGTGGACGGACCATGGTTGAGGATAATAGAACTCCTAAATAATTAATTGAAAAATTTAATTGTACTTTATCTATTGCTATCTCTAGATTATAATTTTTTAATAAGTTTGTAAGTGTGGCATAACATTCTAGCAATGTGTTTTTATCTTTGTGTGCTAATAATACATCATCCATATAGTGAAATATTTGTAGTTCAGGATTTTGATTTCTAAGTGGCTGGATTACTTTGTTCACATAAATTTGACACATAGTTGGGCTGTTAGCCATCCCTTGAGGGAGTACTTTCCATTCATATCTCTGATCAGGACCTTCATGATTCAGTGCAGGGATAGTAAATGCAAAACGTGGACTATCCTCAGGATGAATTGGAATTTAAAAAAAACAATCTTTAATATGTATAACTAAAACATACCAGGTTTTTGGCAAAGCAGACAACTGAGGAATCCCTGATTGAGCAGGTCCCATAATAACCATCTCATTATTAATGGCTCTTAAATCTTGCAATAATCTCCATTTACCAGATTTCTTTTTGATGACAAAAATGGGAGTATTATGGGGAGATACAGAAGGTTGTATATGTCCTTCTGCTAATTGTTGTTTGACCAGGTCATGGGCTGCTTGTATCTTTTCTTTAGTCAGGGGCCACTGAGGAACCCATACTGGTCTTTCTGATTTCCAAGTAATTTTGATTGTCTCAGTGGCCCTTTCTGAAAATCCAACCCATGTCTGTCTGTTCCTTGATCTATTTGTATTGGTGCTGCTATACCTTGTTCTTGTTTTTCTAATCTTTTTCCTTTCCTAAAACCTTGTCTAGTCATAATAGTGGGTGCATTTTGGTTGATGTTATTTGTTAATGTCAAACCTAATTGATCTAGGACATCTCGTCCCCATAAATTTATAGGAAGATGATCCAATACATATGGCTGTATAGTTCCTTCACATCCTTCAGGATCCTTCCAATCTAATACCATTGCACTTCTATGGGGATTAGTTGCCACTCCTAGGCCTCGAAGCGTTTGAGTGGCTTGTTGTAATGGCCAATGTTTTGGCCATTCTTGACGAGAGATGATGCTAAGGTCTGCACCTGTATCCAGTAGTCCATTAAATTCATGTCCTTGAATATTTAGTTTTAGCATGGGGCGAGAATCTAAATTTAAAGAAAGCATAGCCCAATCTACACCTGTGGAGCCTAATCCCTTGGAACCTCTTTCTACAGTACGACTGGAAAATTTATCATGTAGGCTGGGTATTATTAGTAACTGTGCTATTCTATCTCCTGGTGAAATTACTGATATACCCTTTGGAGAACTGGCTATAATTTTTATTTCACCTTCATAATCGGGATCAATTACCCCAGGACTTCAAGTCCTTTTAGAGTACAAGAGCTGCGTCCCAATAATAAGCCTACTGTTCCTTTGGGAAGAGGTCCTTTCACCCCTGTGGGAATGATTTGAACTCCCATCTCTGGAGTTAGTACTGCTCTGGCGGAGGCGCAGATGTCCAACCCTGCGCTCCCTCTGGTTATAAGGGAGCGCAGGTGGCACATGCTTATAATCCTATCAACTCAGGAGACTGAGGAAGGAGGATCACAAGTTCCTGAGCAACTTAGCAAGGCCCTGTCTCAAAAATAAATAAAAATGGCTGGGGGTGTGGCTTAGTGGTAAAGCTCTCCTGGGTTCAATCCCCAGTGCCAAAAATAAAAAATAAATAAAACAATGAAATAATAAATATTATAAAGTAATATAAGTAATGCTGTGTTAGACAGTATAATATTAGCATGAGAATAGACAATTTTACACCTATTAGAATGGTCCAGATTCAAAATACAGATAATACCAAATCCTTGTAAGGACACAGAACAACAAGAATTTTCATTCATTGCTGAGGAGAATGCAGAATGGTGTATCCACTTTAGAAGACTGTTTATGGTTTATTTTAAAACTAAACATAATTCATATTTGATTTTGCAGTCATTATACTTGCAATTTATACAAATATCTTGGAAACCTATGTTTGCACAAAAATCTGCACACAGATGTGTATAGCAACTTTATCCATAATTGTCACAACTTGTCGTACTTTTTTCCTCCTGTTTTGTGGTACTGGGAATGGACACTGGCTTTCAACATGATAGGCAAGCACTCTATCATTGAGTTACATCCCCAGCAAATTGTCACAACTTTGAAGCAACTGAGATGCCCATCAGTCAGTGAATGGATAAATAAATTGATATAGCCAGACAGTGGTATATAACTATGCTAAAAGAAATAAGCTGTCAAGTCATGAACAGAGAGGAACTTTAAATGTATATTACTAAATGAAAGAAGGGAAATTGAAAAGATGATATAATAAGTGACTCCAAGTAAAAGACATTTTAGAAAAGGCAAAACGGGGCTGGGTTTGCGCAATAAAAAGAGCAGTGATTGCTAGGAGTGGAATGAGGGAGGAATGAATAGGAAGAGCTCAGGATTTTTAGGGCAGTGAAACTATTTGGACAATAGATACTACAGTGATGATACATGTCATTATACATTTGTCAAAACCCATAGAATGTATACCAGGAGTGAACCTTAATGTAAATTATGTATGGACTATGGGTGATAATTGCCAATGTAGGTTCACCAGTTATATGATTATATTATTGTGGTGCAGGATATCTAGAGGGGAGAGAGTGGTGTGTATATTAGAATATGGGGTGTGTGGGAAATATTTTATACTTCTCAATTTTTTTTGTGACTCTAAAGCTGCTCAGAAAAAGTTTGTTAATTAAAAAATAAATCTGAGATTTGGCTCGGTATATGTGGAGTGCATATGGATGGATCAGGCAAGATATGTGTATGGTTGATGGAGCTGGCTGGTAGATTCACGGGGCTTATAATAACTTTGGATATTTGGTGGGGGAAATCCCCCTATATTATTTGAAACTATTATGACCTTTGTTATTAAACTTTTATTATGTAAAAATTTAAATGTGCACACACCTGTAATTGCTGCAACTCAGGAGGCTGAGACAGGAGGATGGCAAGTTCAAGGTTAGGTTCAGCAACTTTTCCCCTGTCTCAAAAAAAATAAATAAATAAGGGCTGTGGATGTAGCTCAGTGGTAAAGCACCCCTGGGTTCAATCCCCAATACAAAACAAAACAAGTATACAAGAGTAGACAAAGTAATATAAGTAATGCTGTGTTAGACAGTATAATATTAGCATGAGAATAGACAAATAGATCATATTTATACAGTGGAGTTCCCAAACCAGACCTGTGTATATGGAGATTTGATGATGATGAAGATGGCAGTATCAAATTGTGAAAAGACTGGAATGGTGGTTATAGAACAGTGAGAACTCACAGTTGTTGTACTGATAATTTTTAATCCCCATTTTGTACTTGTGGACACTTAGGCCAGAGAGTTTAAATAAATTGCCAGATTTCATTTAGTCAGTGGTGGAAGAGCCTAAATATAGCTCTAAAACTATGACATTAACCACTGTATCATTAGATAGTTAATAATTTACTTGTGGTACCCAGCATAGTTAAATCTTATCTCTTGCAAATGATGTCACTTTCTATGTTAACCTTTTCTTTCTTTTTTTTTTTTTTTGTGGTGCTGGGATTGAACCCAGGGCCTTGTACATTCGAGGCAAGCACTCTTACCGACTGAGCTATATCCCCAGCCTAACATTTTAAAATCTGAATTTCTTCACTAGATTGTCAGCCTGATAAAGTGAACGCCTCATTAATAGAATGTCTTTACTTTTTTCCAGAGGATCTGAAGAGGCAAAATGCAGTATTACAAGCTGCGCAGGATGATTTGGGACACCTTCGGACACAGCTGTGGGAAGCTCAAGCAGAGATGGAGAATATTAAGGCAATTGCGACAGTCTCTGAGAATACCAAGCAAGAAGCTATAGATGAAGTGAAAAGGCAGTGGAGGGAAGAAGTTGCTTCCCTTCAGGCAGTTATGAAAGGTAAAGACAAAGATCAGTTCTATGGCTTTCTAAGATAACCAAATTTTAGCAATAAGAATATTTTCACACAGTCTGAATGTATATCCTGAGTTCATTTGTGGCTTTATGTGCTGTCATCTTCAAAGATGTACTGTCAGATAAAAGGGAAGTAGGACAGGTGTAGTGACATGTACCTATAATCTCAGCTACTTAGGAGGCTGAGGCAGAAGGATTGAAATTTTGAGCCTGGGTGATTCAGCAAGACCCTCTCTCAAAATTAAATTTAAAAGCCAGGTGCAGTGGTGCATGGCTGTAATCCCGGCGGCTTGGGATGCCGAGGCAGAAGGATTGCAAGTTCAAAGCCAACCTTGGCAACTTAATGAGACCCTGTCTCAAAATAAAAAATAAAAAGGGCTGGGGATGTAGCTCCATGATTAAGTGCCTCTGGGTACAATCTCTGCTAAAGTGCTTGGTTAGCTCATACAAGGTCCTGAGTTCTATCCCCACCACTGCTGGGGGTGGCGGGGGAGGAAGTCAGCCGTGATACTGTAAATGGATGTATTATTCTGTCTTTAACAGATTTAGTAATAAAGAGTATAATGAGAGTATTATAGAGATAATACATTAAATGAAGACTACAGTTAATTGTTAGGTATAAAGCAGGGCTTAAATATGGGATTTATGAGTTAGGTATATAATGTTATTGAATAAGGTGTGGGCACAGGGAATGTAATAAAACTAGAGAGAGCTGCCATGCAGAAGACAAAGCGATTACACTTAATAGCTGTAGCTGATTATTGCTTTTCTGGTCTAGTGTTGCCATGTTGTTTAGATTTTTGTATGTGAAATCTTCACTGCACTAAAGGGGATAGAATGATCTAAGAGTTAGGATATCTTTATGGGCTTCTAGTCTGAGACATTTGTTTGAAGGAAGTATTGTAGTTTGGCCTCTATCTCCTTTTGGGACTAATATTGAATTGCATTTTCCACATTTCTGAGAAGATAATGACAAAAATGAAATAACTTCTCCCTGAACCTTTGTGATTGTAGAATTAGTTAACATGATAAATGTGACTCCTGCAGTATCTTCACATTTGTATGTCATTTTTTCCTTAGTGTTCTTTGTGAGAAGACAAGCCCTAATTCTGAGTCTCTAGTTATCAAGTAAAGATTACTCTAGGCTTCCTTTAACAAATCTGATTATAGTGGTTTCCTCAAACAGGAGTTAGTTTTTCTCATTAAAGTTCAGCAGGTAATCTAGGACAAGTTAAATGGTCCTGTGATGTCACTAGAGTCCCTAACTTCTGCAGTCCTTCTGTTCCTTCATCCTTGCATGTGGTTTTCAACTTTGTTTTTGCCTCATAGCTCACAAATGATTGCTCTTCCTCTAGTCTGCATCAGAAAAGCAAGTTTTCAAGAAACTACCAACATACACTCCCCTCATACTTTGTTGACCAAGTGTATAGTCACCATAATTACAAGGAAACTGGAAAGTGTAGTTCCTATTTTTATTTTTTGTGGTGTGGTAATCCAACCTAAGGCTCATGCATGTGAGAAAAGCACTGAAATACACCCCCAGCATGAAAATGTTTATTTTATTTTTGTGCTGGGGATTGAACTTAGGGTTACTTAACCATTGAGCCACATCCCCACCACTTTTTGCATTGTTGTTGTTTTGTTTTTGAGACAGGGTCTTGCTAAGTTACTTAGGGCCTCGATAAGTTGCTGAGGATGGCCTCAAACTTGAGACCCTCCTGCCTTAGCCTCCAGTGTCACTGGGATTACAGGGTGTGCCACCACACCTGACTTGAAAATGTAGATTTTAAATTGGGCACATTGACTTCCTAAACAAAACTTGGTTTTATTAGTAAAGAAGACGGAGTGAAAATTAATAATCAATGTGTCTGTCACATAATGTTTTAAGATTACATTTAAATGTAAATATAAATACTTCATAGAATTTATTTCAATTAGTATCTTTGGTTATAGTACAATATTCAAGAAATAAATCCATTTCCTCCACTTCCAGGTATTTAGACATGTTGTAATTGTCTTGGGTGCCTTGATGGTAGAACACAGATTTTGGAGTTGACTTTTGAGTTCAAGCCTTGTTTATTTATGGTTATGAAACATCGGGTAGACTATTTAATCTATCCTTTGGTTTCTCATCTGTTTATAAAATGTATGTCATAGATTTATTATGAAGATTGGAGATCATAGCTTAATAAAGCCCTTTAATTCTACATATAATAACTAAAAAAAAGGAAAACAAATTAAAAAAAAGAACTAGGAATGTTAGCTTCATTTTTGTGTGAGAGTTAATAGATTTTCAGAAATTAAGCATAAGATCTTTTTATGACTACAAAATTTTAGTGTACCAATGCTTAGACATGAAATACGTGGTGATGTTTTATAGAAACAGTTCGAGACTATGAGCACCAGTTTCACCTTAGGCTGGAACAGGAGCGAGCACAATGGTCACAATATCGAGAATCTGCAGAAAGGGAAATAGCTGATTTAAGAAGAAGACTGTCTGAAGGTCAAGAGGAGGAAAATTTAGAAAACGAAATGAAAAAGGTACCAAAGAATATGTTCATCTATAGAAATATTTGAATCCAGGTGCAAGTGCTTTAATGAATATGGTTATAGTACTAGATAATGTGTTCCCCTTCTCCTAGACAATGCATGTGACTCACTCCCTTATCTTCAAATCTCTGATTAGACATGAGCACCTCATGAGGCTGTCCTGACCTCCCTATTTCACATTGTAATCTCCCTTTCCCACCTACCACAACTCCTGAGTTCCCATATTTTACTCCAGTTTTTCCTCTTTCCATGTCTTTCACATAATGTATTTTATATTAAAGTAATCTTTAAAATATGGTATATATAGGAGCTGGGATTGTGGCTCAGTGGTAGAGCGCTTGCCTAGCACGTGCAAGGCCCTGGGTTCGATCCTCACTCAGCTCCACATAAAAATAAAATAAAGATATTGGGTCCAACTACAACTAAAAAAAAATATTGTGTGTGTGTACACACACACACACACACACACACACAAGTGCTTGCCTAGCATGTGTGAAGCACTGGGTTCAATCCTCAGCACCACAGTGGAATATTATACACACAATGGAATATTATTCAGCCTTAAAGAAGAATGAAATGATGACAATTGCCAGTAAATGGATGGAACCAGAGAATATTATGCTAAGCGAAATAAGCCAATCCCAAAGAACTAAAGGCTAAATGTTTTCTCTGATATGTGGATGCTAATTCACAATGGGGGTGGTGAGAATAGAAGTATTTTGGACTATACAGAAGGGAGTGAAGAAGGAGATGGGCATGGGGGTAGGAATAATAATAGAATGAATCAGAGATTATTACCCTATATGCATATATGACTGTACGACCTGTGTAACTCTACATCATGTATAACCAGACGAATGATGTTATAACTCCGTTTATGTATGATGTGTCAAAATGCATTCTGCTGTCAGTGTTTAACTAATTAAAACAAATAAAAATATATTACAAATAATAAAGTCATCTTTATAAAGATTTCCTTAGAATTGTCTCAATTTAAATTCTTGGGTTATAGTAAAATATCGAAATAAGTCCCTTTTTTCCTACTTTCAGGTAGGTAGATAAGGTGTCATGTTGTATTTGTCTTGGGGACCATAAAAAACATCCTATTTCTTTATAAAACAATGCATGTATTTTTTTAAACATTTTTTTAAAGTTGTCAATGCATCTTAATTTGCTTATTTATATGTGATGCCGAGGATCGAACCTGTGCCTCACACATGTCAGGCAAGTGCTCTACCCCTGAGCTACAAACCCAGCCCTCAATGCATGTATTTTTATAAGCACATATTTCTTTAAAATAGTTTGTTTTTTATTGTGTTTATTATTCGCCACCTTTCTTTGTTAGAATAAAATTCCATGTTAGTAGAAATCTTTTTTATTTGCCTAGAATAGAATCTAACACATAGGTTTTTTTTTAATATTTATTTTTTAGTTGTAGTTGGACACAATACCTTTATTTATTTTTATGTGGTGCTGAGGATCGAACCCAGGGCCTTGCACATGCTAGGCGAGTGCTCTAATGCTGAGCCACAACTCCAGCTCCACATAGGTGTTTAATAAATGTTTTTTGCATAAGGCTCATTGCTTAATGATTGCACTTAAACCAAAATTTTAGAACAGGTGTCAGTTTTCCTTCTTTCTCAGTTTACCTTGGTTCCTGTGTGACAGAATGCTTGAGATATTACCATCTAATGCCTGAACACAAGGCTACTAAATATGAGACATTTTATCATTGAGAAAATATAAATAACCTTTTGCCCAGTTTGATAATTAAGCTAAGTATTTTTTTATTTATATATATACATATTTTTAAATATACATACATATTTTGTTATTGGACCTTTATTTAATTTATTTATTCATTTATATGTTGTGCTGAGATGGAACCCAATGTCTCACCCATACTAGGCAAGTGCTCCACAACTGAGTTACAACTTCAGTTTACATCCATGTTTTTAAAACCACATTATCTTAAAATTTTCAAAATAAATTTTTGTCAATAGGAGCATGATCTTCTATTACTAATCCAAATAATGTACATATTTGTTACTTCTGTAATATGCCACTTTGTTATTTAAAGTGCTTTAATTTTTAAAATAAACTTTACTTTAGAACCATTTCTGATTAACAGAAAATTTATAAGATAGTAGACAGTTCCTGTATGTTCCATGCCCAGTTTTTCTTATTGATTTTTATATTAATATGATATATTTGTCACAGTTAATAAACTCATATCCACTCATTATTACTAAGATACATTCTTTGTATTCAGATTACTTTAGTTTTCACCTAATATCCATTTTTTTCTGTTCATAGATCTTTGTCCGGGATACCACATTGACTCTTCTTGATTATTACAGTTTCTCAGATTTTCCTTGCCTTTAATGACCTTTCTTTGATTTTTAACGATGCTCTTTAAAACTTTGTTTACAATGACATCTAACACTTGGAATTGTGAGGTTATATTTGTATTAATAAATAACTATGGGGGCTGGGGTTGTGGCTCAGTGGTAGAGTGCTTGCCTAGCATGTGTGAGGCACTGGGTTCAATCCTCAGCACCACATAAAAGTAAATAAATAAAAGGTCCATTGACAACTACAACTAAAAAAAAAAAGATAATAATAAAAAAAGAAATAACTATGATACACTTTTTACTTTCTCTCACCTTTTCCCCCTACCTCCAAATGATCTTTGTCAAGTGATCCCAAACTAACTGTGAAGATGTTTAAAACTAACATGTCTTTTCCAAACAGTACTTAGTTCAAAATAAAATAAATGAAGATTGTAAGGATTTAAAAACAAAGTGAATATGAATTGTTCTTTTCCAGGGGATATGTTTTTTTTTTTTTTGAAAGTCCCTTTTATATTTGTGCGTATGTTTCCCTGTCCTAAACAATTTGGGATAAATTTTTGCTCATTTACATTGAGTGACTAAGGTTAATTTTCATATTTATTAGCGGGAAGAACTCCAGCTTTTCGAGTTGTCGTTTCTCTGTATGTGTGTGTATGTATATATTAAAAAATGAAAATTTAGTTTCTCATCAGTTTACTAATTTATAGTAATGGATTATTAGTATATTATTATAAATATACTAATTTATAGTAACGTGTCAAAAGAAAAATAAAGAAGGGCTGGGGATGTCACTCAGTGAAGAGCACCCGAGTTAAAAAAAAACAAAAAGGAAATTATGTTTTATTAACATAGTAACCAGGAGTTGAAAAAATATTTATTGTGTGCATTTTCGGTTATACATGAGATACTTACTAACTCAGTTACTCAATTAAAAAATCAATTTTTCTATTTCAAATTGTAAATTAAATATTTGGCAAAACCCTGATTATGACTTGACATTTAAAGTTAGATTCAGTTTAATTTTCTGAATGTGAGTAAAGTGCTTGGTGTAGTTATTTGTAATACTAGTTTTTATGAGTAAGTTGTACCATTTAATTCTTTTTAACCATAGGCCCAAGAAGATGCTGAAAAACTTCGGTCTGTTGTGATGCCAATGGAGAAGGAAATTGCAGCTTTGAAAGATAAACTGACAGAGGCTGAAGACAAGATTAAAGAGCTGGAGGCCTCAAAGGTTGTGAAACATTGAAATCCATCTGCCCTAATGCCATGAGCAAAATTAGAATCATTAAGGGGGAAAAACTAATTTAGACTATGAGTCTTAAAAATCTTGCTTTTGGCGAGCACGGTGGAGCACACCTGTAATCCTAGCCACTCAGGAGGCTGAGGCAGGAGGATTGTGAGTTCAAAGCCAGCCTCAAGCAACTTGGTGAGGCATTTAGCAACTCAGTGAGACCCTGGCTCTAAATAAAATACCAAAAAGGGGCTGAGGATGTAGCCCAGCAGTTAAGCACCACTGGCTTCAATCCCCGGTACCAAAAAAAAGAATCTTGCTTTTGTTTATAATATAAAAAAACTGCCTGGTTGAGAACACCTGTAATTCCAGCTACTCAGGAGACTGAGGAAGGATTGCAAGTTGAGGCCAGTGTGGGCAATTCAGGGAGACCCTGTCACAAAATAAAAGGAGCCGGGCATGGTGGCGCACACCTGTAACCCTAGCAGCTTGGGAGTCTGAGGCAAGAGGGATTGCAAACTCAAAGCCAGCCTCAGCAACATAGTAAGACCCTGTCTCAAAATAAAAAATAAAAAGGGATGGGGATGTGGTCCCTGGGTTCAATCCCTGGTACTAATAAATAAGTAAGTAAGTAAATAAAATAGAGTGAGGATGGGGTGGGGGAGCTGGTGATGTACCTCAGTAGTTGAGTATCTGCCTTGCACATGTGAAGTCCTTGGTTGAATCCCTAGTCCCACCACCATCACCACTAAAGCAAACAAACAAACAAATAAAAGCATTGAGATGATTTCTCTCTTATGGATATTTTAAATAATTATAATAATGATGTCCTATCATAAATTGCTACCTTGTTTCAAATTTAATGCTTATTTTCTTATCAAAATGATTCAATCTCATTAATTTTTTTTATCTTGGAAAATAAACTGTTCAATGTTGACTGTTTTTTGATGCCAGCCCTAGACTTGATCTTTTAACAAGAATGTAACTGTAATAATGACTGACTTTGTTGTCCATAAAGACACACCAGAGAAAATACAAATGGATTGTTGGAAATTTTATTAGGGCCAAGTGTGGTAGTGCAAACATCTAATCTGAGAGATTTGAGGGCGCTGAGGCAGGAGTGTCACAGGTTCAAGGCCAGCCTGAGCAACTTAGCAAGGCCCTAAGCAACTTAGTGAGATTCTCTCTCAAAATAAAAAGGCCTGGGGATGTAGCTCAATGGTAAAGTGCCCTGGGTTTAATCCCAGTAACAAAAAAATGAAAGTAGAAGTATAGCTCAGTGGTAGAGTGCTTGCCTAGCATGTATGAAACTCTGGGTTGGATCTCCGGGACCACCAAAATTAAAAAAAAAAAAGTAAAGATTAAAAGTAGGAAAGAAACAAATAATGAAAAATGATAACAGCAGAAAACAGGAATATAAAAAAATGGTAATGTATCTGTAATCCTAGTAAATGTAAATTGAGACCTACTAAAAGATTTATCCGTTTAACTGATAAACGTAAGTTGATATTGCTTATAAGAGATTCACCTAAAATAAAACCCCAAAGTAAGATTGAAAATAAATACAACTTAGATCCTGTCTCAAAAAGAAATAGGGTATAAAAAAAAAGAAATAGGGTATAGATCAGCAGTAGAAGTTCTCTGGGTTCAATCCCCAGAGCCACAAACAAAGAAAAACCAAAATAGAAAAATATACTGTATAAATTCCAGCCAATAGAAAACTGATAGAGGAAGTGTAATATCAAATGGATAGGATAAGGAGGAAAAAACTAATAAAGAGGGAACCTATTTAATAATTCATCAGTAAGATAATTATGAACTTGAATGTGCCTTATGTAGTCTTGAAATATGTGAACTAAAAAGTGACAACTACAAGGAGAAATTGACACAGTTACAGTACGCAATTTGAACTGATCTTTAGAGCAAGGAGAAAAAAAATATTAGTAGGGCTACAGGAATTTTGAAAAATCAGGATCATAATTTAGATTTAATATACACATCAAATTTAGATTTAATAGTCAAAAAAGAAAGATAATATTTTGTAGAGCATAGAAGTTAAAATCTCAGCATTTAGTAGTGTGGGTGACCTTGGGAAAAGTTACTTAATCTTACTCTGTTTTTCTTTTCTCAGCTATAAAATGGGGACATTTTATAATATCCTTTATAATACCTTATAAGGATATTATAAGGATGGTTCGAGTTAATAAATATGAACCCTTAGGATAGCATATGGGATATATTATTATTATTAGATACATTATCCTTTTCATGATATATATTAGCATTATGATACATTAAGCTTTTTATTTATTTATTTTTATTTTTTGTGGTGCTGAGAATTGAACCCAGGGCCTTATTCATGGGAGGCAAGCACTCTACCAACTGAGCTATATCCCCAGCCCATTAAGCTTTTTATAGTGTATTTTCAGATACATTTTTTTCATAAGGTCAGAAAGGAATTGTTAACAAATTTCAAAGAATTGATGTTCTACAGATCCAGTTGTCCAATCCCAGATTATTCAGTTATTCACAATAAAAAAGATAGTCAAAATAAAATGCTTGGAAAAGGGGGGAAAATCATGGAAAAAGTAATCACAAAATATGTAGAGTGATGGGGATATTTAGCTCAAGAATATTAAGGAAAAAAGAGCTAGGCACAGTGGCCTACGTCTGTAATCTCAGTGGCTTAGGAGGCTGAGGCAGGAGGATCATAAGTTCAATGCCAGCCTCAGCAACGGTGAGGCATTAAGCAACTCAGTGAGACCCTATCTCTAAATAAAATACAAAATACGGCTGGGGGTGTGGCTCAGTGGTTAAATGTGCCTGAGTTCAAACCCCAACCCTAACCCTAACCCATGCCCCCAATTCCCCCCAAAAAAATGTAAAGGAGAAAATAATAATGGTAAAAACCGAAAGTAAGTGGAAGGAAATAGTACAAGTAAGAGCAGAAGTTAGTGAGATAGAAAAGCAAAAGAATAATAGAGAATAATCAACATATGAGAAATTGGAAAAAGTAATTAGACAATCTCTAATATTAAAGTCTTATCAGGAAAAGTGAAAAAATTTTCTAATCATTAGAAATGAAATGGGACATGATTGCAAATCCTTAGTTAAAAATAGTAAATGCTACAGTGATATACTAATAAACTTGAAAAAATGAAATGAAAAAAATTCTCATGAAATATATTTAGTCAGAATTTTCCCAAGATGACATAGGCAAGGTAAAGTAGTAATTATTGAAGAAAATTAGTCTAGAATCAAATTTTTGTTCTTCCTGCCTCCTCTTTCCAAGACATTAAACTCAGTTGATTTTCCAGGCACATTTTTCAGAATCTTTTGGAAAGAGAATCCTTATATTTTACACACTGTGTCAGAGAATAGAAGAGGAAAAAAAATTCTCCTTTCATTTCTGAGACTAGTAGATCCTTACTATAATGAACCAACACATAGAAAGGTAGTATAAGAAAACAAAATCATAGATTTGTCTCAGGAATCTGGAAGTTAAATTTTTTTTAAACATTTGTTAAACTGTTGGGGGTAGGGGTGGAAAACAGCCAGACTTGGTTGTGTACATCGGTAATCCCAGTGATTAGGGAGGCCAAGGCCATAGGATTGCAAGCTCAAAGGGCCCATGGGTAATCTAACAAGTCTCTGTCTCAAAAGACAAACAAAAACTGGAGAAGTAGCTCAGTGGTACAGCACTAGCCTGTGTTCAATCCCCAGTACTAAAGAAGAAGGGAAAAACATATCACAACCAAGTAGGGAGTATTCCCAGCAACTTAAGGATGGCATATCATTCTTTCATGTATCAGGATGGCGTATTACTGTGATGTACCACAAAAAAGACTGCAGAAGAGCAATGTTTGTCTTGGTTTCCGAAGGCCTTTGATAAATTTAAACGTTAAACAAAGGGCTGTTTATCAAACCTTCAGTAAGCACAGTTAACAAATGTTTAGCAGTGTTGGGAACACTATGTGGAGACCTGTGCTCAGGAATTTTGTTGAGGTTGTTTTTGTGGTCCTAGATGATATAGCAAGGCAACATAAAGAAATGAGAAGAACTGGAAAGAATCTGATGAAACTGATTTGATTGTCTACATAGAAAAGCCAGAAAATGCACAACAGATTGTTAGACCAAGTAAGAATTCAACTAGTTGAAAGCTGTTCCAGCAAGGTCAACATAAAAAAAAAAAAAGAGATGTTTCTATACTCCAGTAATGTCCAATTATAGAATGTAGCAGGAAGAAGGATCCCATTCACAATAGCAGAAAAAACTCTTGATTACCTAAGAATAAACAAAGGTGGGTAAGACCTTTATAGAATACATTATAAATGAAGACCTGTGTGTATACTCCTGATAAAAAGCATTGTAAAGTAATCGGTATACTCCCAATTTAATCTGTAAATTCAGATTAGATCATAGCATTCCTACAGGGAAATAACAGATCAGGAATACACCCAGCAAAATTTTAAAGAAGACATGGCAGTAGACTTGCTCTACCTACTATTTATTAAGATAGTTTGTCCCTGGTTTCTGGATAAACAAATGGATCAATGAAACAGAATAGTGAGCCCAGAGATAGATTCATATGTCTGGAAATTGGTAAGTGGCAGGTGACATTACAAATTAGTGGAGAAGGGTGGGCTGCAGGTATAGCTCAGTTGGTAGAGTGCTTGCCTCGCATGTACAAGGCCCTGGGTTTGATCCCTAGCACCACAAAAAAACAACAGCAAACAAAACCAAGACAAATTAGTGGCGAAGGTACAGATTGTTTGAAATATACTTTTTGCTGAACACTGATGCATACTTGTAATCCCAATGATTCTGGAAGTGGAGGCAGGAGGATTTCAAGTTTGAGTCCGGCCTGAGCAGCTTAATGAGACCCTGTTTCAAAATAAAAAGGGCTGGGATTGAAGTTCAATGGTAGAGCACCCTTGTTCAATCCTCAGTATAAGGGATTGGGGGCAGGAAGATTTTCAAATAGTTATATGTTCAGAATAAAGTGAAATGAACTTTATACCTTATGGAAATTAATTTCGGTTAATTAAAAATCTAAAAGTGAAAATTAAATCTTTAAAACTTTCAGATATTAAAAAACAGTATGGGGCTAGGGTGTGGCTCATTGGTAAAGCACTTGCCTAGCACGTGCAAGGCCTTGGAGTTCACAAATGTGCATACAAAAATTGGGGTCAAAAAGAAAACACTATTGATTATGGACAAAACACTGACAAATTTGGCTACCTTAGAATATAATATTCCTTGTTAAAAGGTCTACAAAAAGTTGAAAAAGAGAAGCTGTAGACTGTGAGAAGATATGTATAGCTCCTATTCCTGACAATTAATAGCCCAAATTTATAAAGATTGCCAAGTCCGTGCATGACAAAAGGCCCATTGGCAAAACAGGTAAAGTATATGAATGAGTAGCTACAAAAGAGGAAATTAGATAGTCAAGGAATGTAAAAAAATAATATCTGGCTATACTAAGAAATCAGAAAAATACAGATGAAAGTGGGATACCATTTTAACCAGGTTATAAATCTTACAGAATAAATTTGTTACATTCAACTTACTGCTGTAGTGTTTCAGCTACTGTCATAACATCAGATCCCAAGTTCACGATTTTGGGGTTCTTGATGTGGGGGAGTCCTTGTTACTTCTTTCTACTTTCTCCTGATACCATATGGATCTCTCTCTCTCTCTCTCTCTCTCTCTCTCTCTCTCTCTCTCTCTCTCTCTCTCTCTGTTTTTGTGGTACTGGGCCTCATTCAGGTTTCTCTTTCAGTCTTTCAGTGGTTTGTCCTCAGCTATGCTATTACTCTGTTACCTGGATTTTTGTAGATGTCCGTAAGTTTTTGATGAGTTGTTAGGGTTGTAGAATTCAAAGAAATAAAAATATTATGCTGCTGCTTCCACTATCTTCCCAGAGTCTTCTTAATAGCTTTCAAATATTAGAAATTCACTAATTTTTAATTCAGTTGAAATCTTTATTCTAAGAAGTTAGAGCTGGTAGAGTTAGCAGTTGTATACCGTCATTTATAATGGCTCTTTTGTCTCTTCATTACCATTTGATGATAACAGGTGTCAGGGAAAGCACTTTGCTTTGTTTGGTTAGTGCCTTGTGGTTGACTGACGACCTCCAGTAAAGCATCAAATTGCAGTGTCAGTAATCATTTTAGTCTGACTAGTATGGTGTAATGGTCTAGGAATAAGGATAACTGAAAACAGATAAGCCAGCTGTTTGAAGAAATAGAAAAAGGCTGAAAGTGACCTTGAGTATGAAATTAGATATAGTATAGCCATGTAAAAAGCTAAAAGTTAACTAAATGGTTAGAATTTAGAATGAACAATTTATGTGAAAGTATAAAAAAGTGACTTACAATCCTAGATTTTCTGGTTATATCTATTTCAAATATTAGGCTGTGTTGTTAATATTCTAGGTATTACAGTTTAATTGTTTAACAAAAATAAAGCACTTTATAAAATGATGTGATTTTAAAAAATATTATGCCCTTATGTGATTAGTGGCACATAAGGGCACTACTTCTCATCAAGACTTCCTTTCTTTTAATTTCCATGAATAAGTATTGGTGAAAATTTCTCCTTTTTATAAATTTAAGATATTTGGAATTACCTTACCAGAAATTGAAGAAAATCAAAGTTACAAGAATAGGTTGTCATTTTTATCTTTAGAAATTAGCTGCTATTTAAAAAACTCAATCCATACCTGATGTTACTAAGTATGGGATAAAATAAGCACCTGCATTGCTCTGAAAATGAAAATGGAACTTTTTTGAAAAGCAGACTATAAAACAATTATGTGTAATTTCAGTTGCATATTTATTCAGGTGATGGAATTATGGATAACATCTATTAATTATGTTATTTTCCAAGTTTTCTTTCATAAGTATGTATTTGTTTTAGAATTAAAATTATTAATGTTAATTTTGTGTATACATAAATTTATGTAAAAGTAAATGTAAATTTTTTTCAGAACTTACCTTTTTTTATTTTTTTAAGTACTGGACATTATACCTAATGTAGAAACTGTTGTGAAATTTCAGTTTGATAGATGCATCATCTTTCAGGTTAAAGAACTGAATCATTATTTGGAAGCTGAGAAATCTTGTAGGACTGATCTAGAGATGTACGTAGCTGTTTTGAATACTCAGAAATCTGTTCTACAGGAAGATGCTGAGAAACTCCGGAAAGAATTGCATGAAGGTAAATATATGTTCTAAATATTTTTATTTCAGTCTTAAAGATAACTATGTTAGCAATTTGATATTAACTAATAATAACAAATTTTGAAATTCCAATTCAAGCTGGGCACTGTGGCACACATCTGTAATCCCAGCAGCTTGGGAGGCAGAGGCAGGAGGATGGCAAGTTCAAAGCCAGCCTCAGCAACAGTGAGGCATTTAACAACTCAGTGAGACCCTGTATCTAAATAAAATACAAAATAGTGCTGGGGATTTGGCTCAGTGGCTGTGATTCAGTGGTCTAGTGATTCAGTTTAAGCTTTGTGGTCAATTTGAATGTTCTTATGCAAAGCTGAAGCTGTGAGAACTACTAAAGGTCCTTGGATTGATAGTGCTTTTGTGTTCCTCCATAACTTCAGCAATAACTGTACAAGGTGTGAGCTCTTAGCAGAAAGATAATAAGGCTGGAAATGTGTGCTTATACTGCTTTTGCTTGCATACCCTGTTTGATGGATGTGAATTAGCAAAAGTGAGAATGCGATTGAGAGGGCAGACAATCTATTCTGTGGGCCTTATTAACATTCCTTTTTTTAAAACAGTACTGGGACTTGAATCCAGGGTCTTAGACTTGCTAAGCAAGCACTCTTTCACTGAGCTATATCCATAGCCCTCTTTGTTTTTTATTTTGAGACAAGGGTCTCACTAAGTTACTCATGCTGGCCTTTAATTTGTGATTGTCTTGTCTCAGCCTCCTGAGTTGCTGGGTTACATGTTTGCACCATTGTGTCCAGTTTAACATCCTTTTATTTTTTCCTAGTTGTGGATATTGAACCCAGGACCTCCTGCTTGTTGGCAAGCTAACCCCCAGCCTCCACCCGCTTTTTTATTTAAATGTTTTTAGTTGTACATGCAGCGTCTTTATTTTGTTGATTTACTTTTATGTGGTACTGAGAATCAAACCCAGTGCCTCACACATGGAGGCAGGTGCTTTACTGCTGAGCCACACCCCAGCCACCACCCCCAGCCCTTTTTGGAATTACCTTACCAGAAATTGTTTTACTATTTATTTATTTATTTTTGTTTTATTATTTATTTATTTATTTATAACAGGCCTGGGGATTGAACCCAGGGGCACTCTACTACTGAGCTACACCCCTAACCCTTTTTTAAAAAATACTTATTTTTCAGTTTTCGGTGGACACAACATCTTTATTTTATTTTTATGTGGTGCTAAGGATCGAACCTAGCACCCCGTGCATGCCAGGCGAGCGCGTTACCACTTGAGCCACATCCCCAGCCTAACCCTTTTTAAACTTTGAGACAGCCACACTAAGTAAGTTGCCCAGGCTGGCCTCAAACTTGTGATCTTCTTGACTCAGCCTCCATTGTAGTTGAGAGTAGTTGTAGATATAGTTGTAGATGTTCATATCTATATACTCAGTTAACATCCCTATTTTTTTTTTTTTTTGGCACCTGGGACTGAACTTGGGTACTTGACCACTGAGTCACATCCCCAGCCCCATTTTGTATTTTATTTAGAGACAGGGTCTCACTGAGTTGCTTAGCGCCTCGCAGTTGCTGAGGTTGGCTTTGAACTCTTGATCATCCTGTCTCGTCCTCCTACGCTGCAGGGATTATAGGCGTGTGCCCAGCAGTAACATCCTTGTTTTTAAGGGACTATTTTGGATTTTACTAGTCTTGTAGGAGAGTGACGTATACATTGACTCTGTATTTTCTAAAACAGGTATGGAAGGAAAAAGTAACCCTAAAACTTACAAATGAGCTAATTTTATACACTAAATAACAACGTCTAGCAGCAGATTTAATAACTGCTTTTTTTCTTTTTGTACTGGGAACTGAACCCATTTAGCCTTTTTATTTTTGTTTAGAGACAGGGTCTTGCTAAATTGCTGAGGCTGGCCTCAAACTTTTGATCCTCTTGCCTCAGCCTCCCAAGTTGCAAGGATTATAGTTGTGCTCCACCATGCTGGGTTTAACTACTGTCATTTTGAAATAGTGTTGTGCATAAATGATACATTAAGAGGTCTGCTGGATTGGGGATATAGTTGGTAGAGTGCTTGCCTTGCGTGCACAAGGCCCTGAGTTCAATCCCCAGCACCCCCCGCAAAAAAAAAATCTGCAACAACTGTAGTACAGATAAAAATATCTATGATTTCTAATGATGGTCAAGTCATGTTTTTTCTTCTACTGTATTGCCTAGACTTTACAGTGAAGGAAATGGTGAATTTCAGTTAGAGAATATTGAAAATAAAGATTTTTTTTTCCTTATCCTAGTATATGGATTCCTTGAAATCCTAGACTTGTTGCAGCTTATACTAGCAACATTTTAATGTGCAGGATTTGGAGTGTGTTGATAGAATTCTAACAGAATTTAAGTACATTCAGTGCTATGGAAAACAGAGTCATAAATAACTTAGCCATATATTTATTTTTTTCCAAATAGTGGAATGCTAAAATGATATAAACCTAAAAAATTGTTTCAGAAAACATTATGAAAATAACCCAAACTTTGAGTGGGTCTTTGGCCTTCAGGACATACTTTTCAAATATTACTACTGTTACAATCAAACAGATAACCATACTGTCAAAGGGTTTCCAAAAGAAGTACAATCTTGGTTTGAACTTTGTATCCCAGCTCTTTTAGAATAAGTTGTTGAGGTTATCAAACCTTCTAATATATCTGAGACAAGTAATTGAGAAATTATAATGAAAATGAGGAAGGGATAAGAGAAGTAATTTTGTTCTAAAATGGCTACAAAAAATAGTGTTTTTAAGTGAAAGAGAAAAGTTGAGCAGCAGTTTAATTTGCTGCCTAAATTGGGGGAATTAGATATGCAATCAAATTAATTTAAGTGCCTGTTATAGGTGCTATGCTGGGAAGTATGTTAGGATATAGCAATGTCACCAACAAAGGCCCAATTCTTTTTTCTTAGGAATAGATGAGTTTTTTAAAAGAAATTATTCTTTAATTTTTTTTTTTTTTTTTTTTTTAGATGGAACTCTCACTGTGTTTTCTAGACTGATCTTGAACTTCTAGGCTTAGGTGATGTTTCCACCTCAACTCCCCAAGTAGCTGGCACTACAGCATGTCCCATTGTGCCTGGCTGAAAAAAGTTATTCTTAGTAGAGTTTAGCTTGTTCTTTTTTTGTCATTGTTTTGTTTTCTTTTATTAAGTGAAGTTTTAAGAGAGGGGTGAATACTTGACAGGAGTCTGAGGGGAGTATGGCATGCAAGGCCATTTGCATGTGGTACAGCTAGTTAAGGAAGTAGAAGAGAGTAGTTCAGCGCAATTAGGATGCAAGAGAAAATGGGCAAAGTGTAATATTGGAACAGTGAACATGGACTAGATCATGGTGGTCTTATGCTCAGGATGTTGAACTTTATCAGATTGGCTTTAAAGAGCCTCTTCAGAGGCTTTTTTTTTTTTTTTTTGGTACTTGGGATTTAACCTAGTGGCAGTTTACCGGTGAACTACATCCCTAGCTCTTTACTTTTTGAGACAGGGTCTCACTATGTTGCTTAGGGCCTTGCTAAGTTGCTGAGGCTGCCTCAAACTTGCGATTTTCCTGTCTCAGTTATTTTTAAGTAACAGCTTTATCAAGATATAATTTACATTCAGCCTCTTAAAGTGTACAATTGAATTTTTTTCTTTTGAGAGTAAAGTAAGAATTTATTTTTGAAACAGAAAGTGGAGCACACATAGGAAGGGGTTCCAAGAGGGTTGCCCAGTGGTTTTTAATATAGAATTATATGTCATCAACTACTATCTAATTCCAAAACAGTTCATTACCTCAGAAATCCTTACCCATTTGTAGTCATTCACAATTTCTCTTTTCCCATGCCCCTGGCAATCATAAATCTACTTTTTGTCTCCAGGTTTTCCTGTTCTGACTTTTCATTTGAACAGAATTTTGTAATATATGATATATGCCCCTTTGTGTCTGGCTTCTCTGAAGGATTTTAAACTGGGGAGTCATATCATTTTTGAGTTTTAGAAAGTTCAGTTTAAGCTGGCACAGTGGTGCATGCCTGTAATTCCAGCAGTTTGAGAGGCTGAGGCAGGAGGATCCCAAGTTCAAAGTTAGCATTAGCAACTTAATGAGGCCCTGTCTCAAAATAAAACAAACAAACAAACAAAAGAAAAGGGCTGGAGATGTGGCTCAACGGTTGATTGAGCATGGCTGGGTTCAATCTCTGGTACCAAAAAAAAAAAAAGTTTCGGTTTAATAGCAGTGTGGAGGATAGGAAAGAGAGAGCAAGACCAATCTAAAGGCCAGCTCAGGAAGAATGAAAATGGGACTACCATTGAAGTTGTCTTAAATCCTAAGGGCTGGTCTAAGGCAGAAGCCAGAAATCAGAAGATAGATGGGGATACGAAGTCAGAAATATGATTCTCTCAGGTTTCTGACTCGGGTGGTTGGGTGGATGAGTGGATGGGTAGATAGATAGTGCTTTATCTATTGATAAAGATAAACATAGATAGATGTTTTCAAAGTAAGATGGCTGAGCTGATGGTATCAACAATGTATATATTTTACAATTTTTTTTTTATTTTTTTATTTTTTTACTTATCCTAAGGAGGCAGAACTAAATGGGCCCAGGAAGGATTCCTGAATGACAGATTTATCAAAACGTATTAAGCATATTTAGGAGTAGTTACCACACATGGGCCTTTAGAACAACATTTGCCAAAGTGTATTCCCTTCATTTATTTAAACTGAACTGTAAAAATTGTTTTTATTTGTTTATATTTTTGTGATACTGGGGATTGAACCCAGGACCTCACTTATGACAGGCAAGTGTTCTACCACTGAGCCACATCCCCAGTTCTTGTTATTATTTGTCTAATAAATTTGGGAAATGCTATATTACATATTACCTTTTTTGGGGGGGCGGGTACTGGAGATTGAACCTAAGAGCCCTTTACCACTAAGCTACATTTCTAGCCCTTTTTGGTTTTTATTTTGAGACAGGGTCTCACTAAGTTGCTTAGGGCCTGGTTTACTTGATGGGGCCAGCCTTGAACTTGTAATCTTCCTGCCTCAGCCTCCTAAACTGCTGGGATTATAGGTGTGTAGCCCTCATGCCCAGCATATATCACCTTCTAAGAGAAAATACATATAATGAAGACCCTCAACTCAAAATCCTTCTGTAGTCTTTAACAATTTACTTAACCCAGAATTTCTTAAACTTAAATGGACACAGAAGTCCTTTCTTCATATATTCTTGGGCGCACTTTGGGAGGCTCTGCAGTAGAGAGATGGTGTAGAGATACCTGCCATATTCATCTGTAGATTGCCTCTTGGGGCCAATCAAGAACAAACATATAGATAAAATAGACCACTGGTTCTGGTCTAGTAGCCCTATGCTAAAGAAATTTTCTTCCATTAAAATTCAGTGTTTTTGATTGGGGTTCCTAATAGTTTGCCATCTCTTGGAGCAAGAGCGACAACAACATAACCAGTTAAAACATACATGGCAGAAGGCCAATGACCAGTTTCTGGAATCTCAGCGTTTACTGATGAGAGACATGCAGCGAATGGAGATTGTGTTAACTTCAGAACAGCTCCGACAAGTAGAAGAACTAAAGAAGAAAGATCAGGTGAATACTATTTTTTTAGGATTTGCTTATGTTGTTAATAACAGCACCCCTCCTCCCGATTGCATTATTGTATGATATTTTTTTGTGTTGATTTAAGCTGGAACAAGGTAATGTGTACCACTTTATTATCATCATTGCCATTATTATCGAGTGCTGGGAATGGAATCCAGGACATTGCCCATGTTAGGGGCAGCTGAGCTGCATGTACTTGTTTATAGTTTTTTGTTTGTTTTGTTACTTTTTTCTGTTTTTGAATGCCACTTAAAAAAAAAGATAATAGCTGTGTTTGAGGAATTTTGTTTTTTAGCTTCATATATTGCCTTATCTCAGAAGGGGGATACTGATTTATAAATGCAGGATGTGGCAGTGCCTGTTTCTGAGAAATCTTTGTCTGCAGTGCTGTCTTTTGGTGACTTTGTTCTAAAAGCCTGATTAGAAGATGACAAGATGGGGATGGAAAAACTGAGTGATATGAAAGATAGTTGTCCAGGGTGCTGCAAAGTTTCTCCTCATTATTTAAAAATAATTACTTATATGAATAATGCACAAATGCATTTTCATGTTGAAAGTTGCTTGTTTAAAATTCAAAATGAAATAGTAAAGTCATATGAAGTGATCAAGGTGAAATCCCTCTCGATACCTCTTTTCCAGAAATAACTGCATTTAGCAGTTTGATAGTTTCCCAGATCAGTTCTGTGTGTTTGTTAGCATATAGTTAGGGTGATTCCTTCCTTTACCCCAAATACTTGGATCATAAAAGTATTTCTTCCATAACTTATTTTTTCATAAGCATCATCTTAGATATATTTTCATACCAGAGTTCTATCTCATTAACTGGCAGCAGGTATATATCATAATTTAATATTTCTCCATGTGGACATCTAGATTTCCACCCCCCCCCCCCTTATTTTGTCATCTTAAGTAATGCCATAGCTAATCCAGACTCATGGATTCAGACTCATTTATCTTGTGTGACAGCAGTCACACAAAGGGTTAGCCTAAGGGTTTAGATTCTAAAATACAGATTTTGTCATGCCTTTCTTGCTGCTCATTGAAACAGTCTAAGCTTACTAAGATTGTTGTTTAAGGCCATTATTAACATATCTTATACCATATTGTATACGTGCACAGATATTTCCCTAGGTGGCTATATAAAAGTTTGCATTGATTTTCTAGGTATTTTAAGAAGTATTTTAAATTTCCTTATGTGACTTAGGTTGGATTTTACTTACTTATTTATTTAGGTACTAGAGACTGAATCCTGGAGTGTTCTGCTACTGAGATACAACCCCATCCCTTTTTAGTATTTATTCTGAGACAGGGTCTTAATAAGCTGCCCAGGCTGGCCTCAAACTTGTGATCCTCCTGCCTTTGCCTCTCAAGCAGCTGGGATCACAAGCATGTCCCACTGTGCCCAGCTAAATTTTGTTTTGCAGAAGTTTCTCTTTTAAATTTCTTCTTTTTCATTAGCATGGTATTGCATTTCTGTAATCCCAGCAACCCAGGGGCTGAGGCAGGAGGATCAGAAGTTTGAAGCTAGCCTCAGCAACTTAGTGAGGCCCTAAGCAACTTAGTAAGACCCTGTCTCAAAATAACACAAAGGGATGGGAGGGCTGGTGTTGTGGCTCAGCAGTAGAGCACTTACCTTGCACATGTGAGGCACTGGATTTGATCCTTAGTACCACATAAAAATAAACAAACAAAATAAAGGTATTGTGGCCATCTACAACTAAAATATATATGTGTGTGTGTGTGTGTGTGTGTGTATGGGGTTGCTGGGGACTTAGCTCAGTGATAAAGTACTGCTGGGTTGAATCTGCAGTATCATTCATAAATAAATTTCTTTTTTTATCACTTAATTCAGACTCATTCATCTTGTGTGACAGCAGTCACACAAAGGGTTAGCCTAAGGGTTTAGATTCTAAAGTACAAATTGCCATGCCTTTCTTGCTGCTCATTGAAACAGTCTAAGCTTACTAAGATCGTTGTTTAAGGCCATTATTAACATTTATTGAGCTCTAACTATGTGTTTATGTGCTAGCATGGTGCTAAGGCTTTATATGTAAAGCTTTATCTCAAGTGGTTGTCAGAAAACAGCAAAACCGTCCATACGAGGTAGGCACTACAGAACTGTTCTTATGTTATAAATGAAGAAGCAGGCTGTGAGAAGTAATGGCAGCTCTGAGGTTTGAGCCAATTTCTGATTCTAGAGTCTAAGCACTTAATCATTGCCTCTTTCCTGTGTCCTTCACTTTTTATGTACCTGTCCACTTTTCAGACACATTGAATTATTCAGCATTCCACCATAAGCCTGCCTTCCCAGGCTTCTTTGTTTTGTACATGCTTCCTTTCTCCCTGGAACCCTTGCCTACCTTCTCTTAGGCAAGTGGCAAGCTCATCTTACTGATCTTCCATGATCCAGCTGAAGTATTGCCTCCTTTAGGGCTCCTTTGCTCGATCCCTCAAATGAAATCAATCTTGTATTTCTCCTGCAGAACGTTGTACCTCCTTGTAATGTAATTGTGTGTTTGTCTCTCCTTACTAAATAGTCTTTGGGGGAACCCAGAAGGTATCTTATTCACCTTTATTGAATGAATTTCTACATCAACTTTGATCATTGTTTTTGTATTTTATACAAATTTTTATGTGTTTCTAATGGATGTGTAGTGTCATAACAACTTTTTTTCCTATTTTCTACAATAATCAGAAGGAATGTTCTATGTAAAAAAATATTTTTTGATCATTTGAAGGGAGAAGTTAGTTTTCTTTTGCTTTACTTTCATATATATGCTTTTCTTGAAAGCTGTTTTCTGATATTTTTCTTTGTAGCAGGGTTCTTATTTTGTGCTTGCAGTTTTAAAATATTTTGTCATGACCAGAGGCCCCTAAATATTATTACAAAACAAATAAGCTTTAAGTGTCCAATTTTCTATTGGTATAAAGCTCTTTGTTCTTTTTATTTGTTTAGTGTGATTAAAGAACTGTGACTTGTTAAGATTACCTTGATAAATGTTTTTTCTTCCTTTTAGGAGGACGATGAACAACAAAGAATTAATAAGAGAAAGGATCACAAAAAAACAGATATTGAGGAAGAAGTAAAAATACCAGTAGTATGTGCTTTACCTCAAGAAGAATCTTCTGCCCAGTTATCAAATGAAGAGGTATAGTGAATCTGTAATTAAAATTTTTGCATTAGCCAGGCACAGAACGTGTCTGTAAGTCCCTGAACTTGGGAGGCTGAGGTGGGAGGATCACTTGAGCCCAGGAGTTGAAGGCATCTCAGAAAACAAAAATACTATATGTTCAGTGTCACATACGGTTCACTTACTCAAACATCAGCCAATTACATTGTTCATATTGGAAGTAAATAGCTAGAAATTAGATAAAATAATAGTATTTTCTTTCGGTTGCTTAGAAAGTATTATAGGTAGCACTATCTGAAATATGTTGGAGTTTCATTCACCCTATGAAATAATTTTTTTACCAGTAATTTCAAAATTTGATACTTTAGAATCTTTAAGTGACGTGTATAAAATCTTTTTTGAAGTGAATGGTGTTACTAATACTTGGAGTTTGTTTAAAGGAGATTAAAGTGTGGAAACATTTAGCTTCCTGTAGCACATGTAAGAGTTTTAACTAGTACTAGGATTATTATTTTTTTTTTCCTTGTGGCACTGGGGATAGAGCCCAAGGTGCTTTACCTCTGAGCTACATCCCAAGACCTTTCTAAATTTTATTTTGAGACAGGGTCTTGCCAACTTGCTGAGGCTGGCCTCAAACTTGGAGTCTTCCTGCCTCAGTCTCCCAAATCACTGGGATTACAGGAGTGCACCACCACATTTGGCAGAAATAGGTCTTTAGTGCTGAGAATAGAGGGTGAAGTTTGACAGATTGTGGTGAGGCCTGGTAGAACATTGCAGATGTTGGGAATGGATATAGTAGAGAGTCCCAGAGGTGCAAAGTATAAGATGGTGTTCTTGTAGTCTCATGATCTCTCACCTGCAGTGTCACAAAGACCTCCTCATTGGGTTTCTTGCCTTCAGCCTTTTCTACTCCATTGTACACTTGCATCATTGTCAAATTAATTTTCTTAAGTGCAGCTGCATTCAGGCCACTCCTTTACTTAAAAACCACAACTCATTCCCATTATGTATATCACTGAATACAGATCCTTCAATGAGGGGATTGAAATTCTTCATAATAAGGATTCCATTTTGGCCACATTGGTTATTGTATTGTGCTACACTCTGTATTGCATGTTGTTTCCTTCTTGTGGAATTCTTTTTTTATTTTTTAAATTTTTTTATTTGTATTAATTAGTTACACATGACAGTACAATGATCTTGACATATCATACATTTGAATCAGATGGGGTATAATTTCTCATTTTTCTGAATGTACAGGTTGCAGAATCACATTGGTCATGCAGTCACGTATATACCCACAGCAATAATAAAGTCTATTTTATTCTGCTGTCCTTCCTTTCCCCCCTTCCTCTTCCCTCCCCTCCCATCACTTCTCTCTACCCAATCTAATGTGACACACTTCTTTTTATTTTTTCCCTCACATCGTCATACATGTATTCTGTATAACAGTGAGGGTCTCCTTCCATCTTCCATGCAATTCCCCTTTTCCCTCCCCTTCCCTCCCACCTCTCTTCCCTATTTAGTGATAATCTTCTTCTCATGCTCTTCCTCCCTACCTCATTTTGAGTCATATATCAGAGAAGACATTCGGCATTTGTTTTTTAGGGTTTGGCTAACTTCACTTAGCCTAATCTGCTCTAATGCCATCCATTTCCCTGCAAATGCCATGATCTTGTTATTTTTTAGTGCTGAGTAATATTCCATTGTGTATATATGCCACATTTTTTGTATCCATTCATCCATTGAAGGGCATCTAGGTTGGCTCCACAGTTTAGCTATTGTGAATTGTGTTGCTATAAACATTGATGTGGCTGTGTCCCTGTAGTATGCTGTTTTTAGGTCTTTTGGGTATAGTCCGAGAAGAAGAATAGCTGGGTCAAATGGTGGTTCTATTCCCAGCTTTCCAAGGAATCTCCATACTGCTTTCCAAATTGGCTGCCTTCAAGTAGAATTTTTGTCTTTCTCTGCCTTTCTTTCTTTTCTGCTTCCCCCGCCTCCCCACCATTAGAGATTGAACCCAGGGCCTTGCACATACTAAGCAAGAGTTCTACCACTGAGCTATATCCCTAGTGCTTCCCTCCATCTTTCTGAATGTTGAAATCCTTTTACTCATCCTTCAAAGCTCATGCTGATATCTTCTCTAATTAAGAAAAATGTTTCCCTTATTTCCTTTAGGAGAAAAAAGTAAGTTCTTAGCTTGGCTTTCCTAACTGAACATCCCTTCAGTTCTTAATCCCTGCTCTCATTTCACTACAAACAGACCTGTCTGCTTGCTGTTCATGTTTATATGCCTTGTTTTTACTGTCCCTGCTACTTAGAATTTTGTACTCAGAGGGGCTAGAGATGTGGCTAGTTCCAGCACTCCAGCCCTTCTGAGTGTGAGGTCCTGGATTTCGTCCCTAATACCAAACAAAAAAGAATTCCCTGCACACCTGCTCAACCTTAATTCCCAGTCTGGTGAACAAGCATCAGTTAAATTGGGATAAAGGGCTGGACACAGTGGCAGACACCTGTAATCCCAGCAGCTTGGGAGGCAGAGGCAAGATGATCACAAGTTCAAAGCCCAGCCTCAGCAACTTAGCAAGGCCCTGAGCAACTTAACAAGATCCTGTCTTAAAATAAAAAATAAAAAGGGCTTGGGATGTGACTCAGAGGTTTAAGTGTCCCCAGGTTCAATCCCTGATAAAAAAAAAAAAAAGGGTGGCAGGTGAAATATTTTTTCCTTTGAGAGGCATCACATTTCTCTGTAGTTTAAGGATTTATTCTGATTCATGTATGATCTACATCTTGGTGGCTTATATTTTCATGATTATGGATAGTTTAATGTTAAGACTTTTAAAAATATCCTCATAGACACTGAAAATTATAATGTAATTGTTTTTGCACATTCTTCATTTTGGAACATACACTGAGAACTACTTGGCCGTATTGTGCTGTGTGTTTTTTAAATAGTTAACTCCAGGAGAATTTCTCAATTTTGGGATACAGCCAAATATTATGTGGTTTTTGCATCATGTAGTTATCTACCCAGGAATGTTTGAAAATCAGGAAAACAGGAAAGGGAAATTTGCTATGATTTATGATAAAGTACTTTTCTTATTTTTGCTTATGTCTTAACAAATCTGTATGACATTGTATATATACTTTCTAACATTTGAAATACCTTTTAGATTTTTCAGATGAGTTTGAATTTTGAGTATACTTTTTTGTGTTAAAAGTCATGACGAGGGCTGAGGATGTGGCTCAAGCGGTAGCACACTCGCCTGGCATGTGCGTGCGGCCTGGGTTTGATCCTCAGCACCACATACAAAGAAAGATGTTGTGTCCGCCGAAAAAAAAACAATAAAAAAATAAAATAAATATTAAAAGTTCTCTCTCTCTCTCTCTAAAAAAAAAAAGTCATGACGATTTTACTTTAGTCAATAGTTTAAAATTAATATGTAATGCTGTGGAGACTTAGATTTATTGCTAAAGACATTTGAAATTTATAGGATCGTACATAGTCTTTAACCTGATGCTTAAAATATGCTCTTCTCAATACAAAAATAATATGGAAATACTATGTAAAATTTGGAAAGTACAAGAAAAGGTCATGAAAATCCTGTTACCCAGAGATAACCTTACCTCTAACATTTTTGATGTGTGTTTCTTCTTTCCCTCTATTTTCTTTTTCAAAGATAACATAAAAGTTTCTATTTGTATTTTTAAAACATATTTTATATTGCAACTACATAATAGATACATTTTCCTCCCACTTAAATGTACTCTAAGGTTTTGGCACATCATTGTTTTCCCAAAAAATGACATTTGATGGCTGATAGAATTTCAGCAATGTAAATGTACCAAAATTCCGTTAGTCAGTTTCCAACTAATTTGTGCCCAAGTTTTAATTTATAAAGGTGACTAGGTGTTAACATGGAGAGGCCAATGTCATTAGAAGTTGTTTAATTTTAGTCCCTCCCCCCTCCAAAAATTGTGAATTGAACCCAGGGTTCTTGCATGCTGGGTAAGAATTCCTTCATTGAGCTCAAAATTCCCCTAGAAATGAGAGGTGCAGCATGACTTGTAGGACCTCATTGGGAAACACCAGAGCTGGTCTGGAGGCAGAAGGAGCAAAGGGAAAGTATGGACCACAGTCATTGGGGTTTCCTTAAGCAGAGCAGGGCAAACAGTACAGGACTGGCTAATTTGAATGATTCCCATGGACTTTGTAGTTTATGGGGTCTCTTTCATTTGGTTCCTATCTGTTCCTGGGATGATTTAGGGCAGGGAAAGTAGTGGCTTGGTATGGGAATCAGATAAAGGAGGTGGTTAGAGTATCGTTTTGGGATTGACTGGTTTACTTATGAAAGGTATGTTATAGTCAAGTGAATTGTTTATTATCTTTAGGCATTAGCTGACTCTGGGAGGCACAGTCTCTCTCTAGCCATCAGGGCCTCCAAGACACTAAAACATCATGAAATATAGGAAATAAAAAATGTGATAATTAATCATCAGGTTGGTTCTGTTTTTTTACTACCATGAAGTTTTCATTAAGTAATGCTATTATATATAATTTTTCCTTAGGCAAAAATCAGTATGGATATATCTGATTATTTTCATAGTATGTTTTCCCCCCTCCGTACTGGTGCTTGAACACAGGGCCTCACACATGCTAGGCAAGTGCTTTACCACTGAGCTATATTCCTGTCCCTTTTAAAATTTTATTTTGAGAAAGGATTTCACTAAATTACTTAGGCTGGCCTTGAATTTGTGATCCTCTTGCCTCAGCCTCGTGAGTAGCTAGGATTACAGCTATGCACCACCATGCCTGGCTGAAGAAAAAATTTTTTGTGAGCTACCAGAATTGGTTCTTATTCTAGTTTTTATTAGGTTACTTATTTGGGACTTTCACCATCATTAACTTCATATAGCCTAGGTTTGTGTTTTCAGACATCTGTTTCAGAAAAGTAAAAATCTTTGAAAATAAAGAAATGGTGGAATTAACATAAAAGATGCCAATTTTTTACTATACCAAGTGAAAATATTTTCCTAATTAATTAATTAATTTTTGTTCTGGGAATTGAACCCAAAGGTACTTTACCACTGAGCCACATCCCCGGCTCTTTTTTATTATTTGTTGTGTGACTGGGTCTTGCTAAGTTGCTTAGGGCCTCGCTAAGTTGCTGAGGCTGGCTTTGAATTTGAAATCCTCTTGCCTCAGTCTCCCAGGGGTGCTTAACTACTGAACTATATCCCTGGCCCTTTTTATTTTTTATTTTGAGACAGGATTAGGCTGATTTGATTAGTCTTGCTAAGTTGCTGAGTCTGGTCTTGAACTTGTGATCCTCCTGCCTTAACCTCCTAAGTCATTGGAATATGGGCATGTGCCACTGTGTCTAGCTTATGCACCTGCTTAGTGCCCAACATATTTAGATACTGAATAATGATTAAATGAAGGTTGTGTTAATGATTGTCACGTGTAATGTGGTAAAATCTGCCTAGTGTATGATATATTTTGAAGATACAGAACATTGTCTAATTTGGCAATATCTCTTTTCACATTTCAGGAGCACTTAGACAGCACCCATGGTTCAGTTCATTCCTTAGATGCAGACTTGCTGTTACCATCTGGAGATCCATTTAGTAAATCGGACAATGACATGTTTAAAGATGGACTCAGGAGAGCACAGTCTACAGACAGCTTGGGAACCTCGGGCTCATTGCAATCCAAAGCTTTAGGCTATAATTACAAAGCAAAATCTGCTGGAAACCTGGATGAGTCGGATTTTGGACCACTGGTAGGAGCAGATTCAGTATCTGAGAACTTTGATACTGCATCCCTTGGGTCACTGCAGATGCCAAGTGGGTTTATGTTAACCAAAGATCAGGAAAGAGCAATCAAGGCTATGACACCAGAACAGGAAGAGACGGCATCCCTTCTCTCCAGTGTTACCCAGGGTATGGAGAGTGCTTACGTGTCCCCCAGTGGTTACCGCTTAGTCAGTGAGACTGAGTGGAATCTCCTGCAGAAAGAGGTGAGTTATTCATGATCTGTTCCTCTTGTTCAGTCTGAGGGACATTACTGTAACTCTGGGATTTATTGGTCATTGAGTAGATAGTCCCTGGAGTCAATGCAGGCTTGTGTTTCCAGCAAGTAGGTGTTAACCCAGATTATCCGGTACCTGTCATAGTCTGCTTTGGTTCTTCCTGCTGCCTGTGAGAGAGACGGGTGTTAACCAGCTATTGGTGTTGATTGTGAATTTCTCCCCCTGAGGTCATACTTCAGAAGCTGGGACAACCTTCCTAACATTACTAAGTTAGAATAGCTGAATTTGTTTTGAAGTTTTCTTAAATCTGAGTGTATTTCAGGATTCAGTTTGTCTTTCCTTTAGGTCTGGAATGCAAATGCTTATCATTGATTGATGCAGAGTAGTGGTTTTAGGAGTAGGTAGAAAATATGGGAGAAAAAAGGAGGCAAACTAATAAGAAGTCAGACTTTAATAAACTTTAATTTTCCTCCTCAGGGTATTTGCAAACTCAGAAAATTAGAAGATAGAAACTTAAATATGTATTGGCATAATGCGTTACAGATTACAAAGCCCTTTTACTTACCTCATCTCTTTGAATTTTCTTATCAGAATGAGGCAATCAGGGCATGATTGTCCCCAATTTCCAGATGAGGAAATTGGCTCTGAGAGATCAAGCATTGCTTAAGTGTTCCCCTTGACCTAGTAGCAAAACCTGGGTTAGAATCCTGGTTTTCTGAATTCCAGGGCTTTCCTTTGCTCAGGGCTACTTCTCTTTAAAGAAGTGCTTGATAAGTAAGTGGAATAGCCTGTTGAGCCTGAAAGAAACTATTCTTGGCCTCATGCAAAATGTATGTGAGAAGGTACTTGTTAATAGTTTCACACCTATTTCATAAGTGGAGCTGGTGAAATGGGGAATTGGCACTGTTTGTGTTTTCTGCCTTTTTCATTGGTCCGGTTGTATTGATTTAAATTATGAGTGCCGCGGTGTAGCATTGTCTGCTTGCTTTGTGTTTTCCTCAAATATGGTGTTTTGTGGCCCTCAGCCTCTTGTTGATGTGTTGTTTCCCTCCTTTTCCTCTCATACTTGTACTGGAGATTATGACTTTTTAGAATTATAGCTTAGTTGGTAGAGTGCTTGACTCCTATGCACAGTGCCCTGAGTTCAATCCCCAGTATCACCAAAAAAAAAAAAAAAAAAAGTGTGACCCTGAATTGAAACTCTTTCTGAAAGTCCATGGAGAAATTGTTTATTCTGTACTATACTTTGAGTAACATCAGTAGAATACTATGCATGTATTCCTCAAGTATGTGATGAAGAATTATTTTGTTCTGCCTGATAAAAAGTAATTTTGGTGCCCTTCAGGTACATAATGCTGGAAATAAACTTGGTAGACGTTGTGATATGTGTTCCAATTATGAAAAACAGTTACAAGGAATTCAAATTCAGGAGGCTGAAACAAGAGACCAGGTGAGTTTCATTTGGATATGCCAAATTGGAGCTGTTGTAGTCTTCATTGGAGGTACAGAATTACCCCCCATTTGCTTTAATGAAGCATATCTGTCTTGTTAAATTATGAAATAATCTGGCACATACAGTGGCAGTTAAATTTCCAGCGGGAGTCCCTTGGTGTTACCTGTGTTTTATTAATGTGCCAATACTATTTGGATCACCTCAGCTCTTAGAGGAGCACCCTCACTCCTCTCCCACCCTACCCTTTCCACCCACTGTCTACACTTGATATTGGCATTGATCTGGAATACTTCATGATATGAAGACTAGGGACAGAAGAGATTGAACATGGCCTCTGTAGAACAAAAGCTTAATTGAATGTGATTAATCAGAATTTGGAATCTTCATTGCTTATTGCCTACTTCTTGGCATAAATTTGTTGAATTGATTAAGGTTAATTTACAGGGTCACAGAGATTAAGTTTGGTAAATTTGGAATGCTGAAATTGACAGTTAAGTACTTGTCCAAACACAGTGTTGAAAGATGAGTACCTTGATACAATTTAGGAAATAATGTAGAATTTCATGAGAGTAGATTTGTTGAAAGTGTATGTAAGGAAAAGATTATTTTTCTTCTATTTCTTAACTGACCTTTGGTTGTTTTGAACATTATTCTCTTAGTCTTCAAAAGAACTTTAAGCAGGGCTGGGGTTGTGGTTCACTGGTAGAACAATTGCCTACTATATGTGAGACACTGAGTTCGATTCTCAGTACTACATATAAATAAATGAATAAAATAAATTTCCATCAACAACTGAAAATAAAAAGAACTTCAAGCAAATTAGAATGGTGGTTTAATATTTTCAAATGTCAGCTGGACACAGTGGTGCATACCTGTAATCCCAGTAGCTTTGGAGGCTGAGGCAGGAGGATCACAAGTTCAAAGCTAACCACAGCAATTTAGTGAGACCCTGTCTCAAAATCAAAAATAAAAAGGGGATGGGGATGTTGCTCAGTGGTAGAGTGCCCGGGGTTCAATTCTCAGTACCAAACAAACAAAAATATACATATATTTTCAATGTTGTTGGCATTGAGTTCTTCCATATATGCTTTTTTTCTTAAATAGTTCAAAGGTAAATTTCTAAAGGTATTTGCAAAACTAATATAGTTTGTCTTTGGTAGTGTAGCATGGGAATGGGCTATCTTGGGTTCCTTAGCCATTTCCATAAACATTCACTGATGCCTCATCTACACCTGGCATTATGCTGGGTCCTCGTGATTCAGATGCAGCTAGAAGAAAATTTCAACCCCCGTGAAGCTTTTAGTGTTTCGAACCAAAACAGTAGTTCAATATAGTTTGTTCCTGGAGAGGTACACATAGAAATTAAGGAGGGCATCTACCTTAACCATGGGTTCAGGAAAGGCAACATTTGAGCTAAGTTTTTGTAGAGCCTGGGTAAAAGTTAGTTGGGAAAAGAAGTGGTGAAGGAGGGGCTGGGATTGTGGCTCAGCAGTAGAGCACTTGCCTAGCATGAGCGGGACCTGGGTTCGATTCTCAGCACCACATAAAAATAAAGGCATTGTGTTGTGTCCATCTACACCTAAAAATAAATAAATTAATTAATTTAAAAAAAAAAAAAGAAGTGGTGAAGGAGAGATAGGGAGTTCAGGGAGAAGAAAGAGGTCTAGAGGAAAGAGTTACGAAAGAAAAGTGTGTGTTCTAGGAAGTGTCTGAGTGGTTCTGTGGCTGGGCATGAGGGTGTTTAAAGGAACCCTAGGCCAGAATGAGATCACTAAGGGCCAGTGATGGGAGGGGTTTAAATTGATCAGAAGGCTTTTGGGAGGCATTCATGTGCTTTTAAGTAGAGAAATTATTGTATTTCAGTTTTGTAAAGTTTATAGTGTTCGTGTGGATTATAGATCAGAGGCAGAGGATAGAGGAGAACTAGGTAGTTCATTGTTAGGGCTGAGAGTGACCAGAAGAAAGGCAATTTTCAAGTGAGATGTATGTGAAAAAATGACTTGTTAACTGTAAAGCACAGCACAGTTGTCTCTTGAGGTCATTCATCTCATTTATTTCAGAATGACAAATCTTATGGTGTTTTTCAGGAAAAAATAGACTTAAAAAGAGTTTTTGCCTTTTTTTGTTTTTTAATTCACTAAATAATTCTGGACTTGTGATATAGCTTAGTAGTAAAGCACTTGCCAATATGTGCGAGGCCTCCATTTGATCCTTTTCACCAAAAAGAAAAAATACCTAGTTCTCCCTTTTAATTGACGTTTTTAATTACACAGGTGAAAAAACTGCAGGTGATGCTAAGGCAAGCTAATGACCAGCTGGAGAAGACAATGAAAGATAAACAGGAGCTGGAAGACTTCATTAAGCAGAGCACTGAGGACTCAAGCCATCAGGTAAATGGGGGTTTTAGATTGTAACCCATAGGAATGACAGGGTAAAAATATAGTCATCTTTCTTTCTTTTTTTTTTTTTTTTCTTTTGGTACCGGGGATTGAACTCAGGGGCACTTGACCACTGAGCCACATCCCCAGCCTTATTTTGTATTTTATTTAGAGACAGGGTCTCGCTGAGTTGCTTAGCATCACTAAGCTGCTGAGGCTAGTTTTGAACTTGTAATCCTCCTGCCTCAGCCTCACAAGCTGCTGGGATTAAGGTGTGTGCCACTGTGCCCAGCTAGTTATGTTTCTTTTGCCCTTAATAATCAGTTAACATCAGGGGGCTCTGATTCTCCTTCTCCCCTTTGTTAGTTATTATTTGTTTATGCTGGGGATTGAACCTAGGGGTTCTGTACTACTGAGCTACATCCCCAGCCCTCCGCCTTTTTTTTTTTTTTTTTTTTTTTTTGCCAAATTTAGAGACAAGGTCTCACTAATTTGCCACGGCTGACCTCAAACATTTGATCCTCCTGCTTCCACCTTAGAATAGATGGAATTAAAAGTGTACAGCACTGTGCCCAGCTTTTTATTATTATGATTTTTAGATAAAACATTCGTATAAATAATCCAATAACTATATCAAGCATATCACAAATAACATCTTTGTAACCATCCCTTCGATCAAGTTGAACATTAGCCAGTATCCCAGAAGCCTTCACTTAAGCCCCATCACTTACAGCCTCCTACACAGAAGTAACTATTGTCCTAACACCATTAGTTTTGTCCATTTTCTGATTTTTAAAAAGAGACATAGTAGGTATTCTTTTGCATTTGTCTTCCTTCACTTGGCAGGGTATGAAAGTACTGCCTTGATGGATGTAGTGGTTATTTTAATTTTTGATACCGGGGATTAAACTCGGGGGCACTTAACCACTGAGCCACACCCCCAGCCCTTTTTAAAAAATATTTTATTGTTTAGAGACAGGGTCTCGCTGAATTGCTTAGGGCCTCACTAAGTTGCTGAGGCTGGCTTTGAACTCATGATCCTCATGTCTCAGCCTCCTGAGCTGCTAGGAGTATAAGTATATGCCACTGTGCCTGGTGGATTTTCAATGTCATGTGTTGTACTATTGAGTGGATATACCATAGTTTATCTGTACTAATGTTGATGGACATTTTAGTTGTTTCCAGTTCTGGGATATCATGAATAATGTTACTTTGAAATTTCTGTATAGGGTTTGGTGAACATGTTTCTTTTAGGTCTATATCTAGGAGAAAGAATATCTGGTTCAAAATGCTCAAAATAGCCAGACACAGTGGTGGATGCTGGTAATTCCAGCTACTCAGGAGGAAGGAGGATTAAAAGTTCAAGGCCAGCCTTGGCAATTTAGCCAAACCTTGTCTCAAAAAAGAGAGAGAAGAGGGAAAAAAAAAAAAAAAAGCTGGGAATATAGCTCAATGGTAGAGTATCTCTGGGCTTAGTTTCTAGTACTGCAAATAAAAAAGGTCAAAATATGTATATTCACCTTTAGTAGATAAAAATACCTGTGTCTTTTCCAAAGTGGTTATACCAGTTTATACTCCCACCAGTGATGTATGAGAAGAACCCAAGGTCTTGAAAAACTTCATCTTATTACTTTAATTATAGTCATTTTGGTGGATGTGTAATGAATGATATTTCATTGTGGCTTAGTTTGCATTTCTTTGATGACCACTGAAATTATTTAGCATTTTTTACATTTATTGGTTGTTGGATATTGTGTGTGTGCATATACACTTACGAGAGAGAGAGAGAGAGAGAGAGAATCCTGCTCTTTTTTCATCTTTTTTGTTGGTTCTTGATTTGCTTGGTGCTTGTTATATGATCTCATCAGAGCCTTTTGATTATATTTGCTGCATACATTTTCTACTCAGTAGCTTATGTCTTAAATAGTACTCTGATGTGTAGAAGTTTTTCTTTTTAATATACTCAGATTTATTGATCTTTATGGTTATTGATTTTTGTCCTTTTCTTAAGCTGTTGATGGACCTTTATCTAATTTATTTATTTATATTGTGGTATTGAGTATTGAACCCAGTGCCTCACACATGCTAGGCAAGTGCTCTACCACTGAGCCAAAACCCCAGCCCTGTCCTGATTTTTAAAATAATCTTCTCTTATACTGTAATTATGAAGATATTTTCATATTTAGCTTAATAGAAGTTGCATTGAATGAAGTTGTTTATGTTTATATAAAAAATTTATATGGAATTGGTTTATACATACATGCCACTATCTATTTGATGTAGGTATGGGTAAAATTTTATTTTTTCACATATATAGCCAAGGGAACTGGGATGTAGTATGTACTTAGTATCTTGTATAAAGATGGGTTCAATCTCCATAGCTACAGGTAAATAAACAAAAATAAAAAATAATTTAGGTAGTCAGTTTGTGTACTGTGTTGTGAAAATATCATCTTTTCCCCATTGCCCTGCAAGGTCATCTTTATCATTTATCAAGTGTATATATGTGTGGGTTAATTTCACGACTTTGTTCCATTGGTCTGTTTTTATGCCAAATTGTATACTGATTTATAATAAAATTTTATTTAGTTCTTTTTTTTTTGAGAGAGCTATCTTTTCATTCATTTCAAAGCATTTACTTTTACCTCATGAAGCTTAGTTATAATAGCCATTTCAATACCTTTGATAATCTAACTTGGATCATTATGGTTTGGCATCTGTTGATTTTCTTTCCTCTTGAGCATTGGTCACATTTTTCTTGTTCTTTCTGTGTCAAATTTATTTATAGTGTCTTGGGAATTAGGAATATTTTATTATGAGACTCTGGGTTCTGTTAAAATCCTTTGGATAATGTTGATGGTTTTGTATTGTTTTGTTATAGGAGGTAGTCAACATGATTGGATTCAGTGCCCAAGTTCTCTCTTTTACTTATTTATTTTAATTTTTATTTGTTCTTTTTAGTTATACTTGATAGTAGAATATATTGACATACATATATGAAGTATAACTTACCATTTTTGTCATTGTACATCATATGAGTTACATTGGTTATATATTTGTATATGAACATAGGAAAATTATGTCCAGTTCATTTTACTGTCTCTCCTATTCCCATCTTCCCTTCCTTCCCATTCATTCACCCCTTTCTATTCCAGTGAACTTCTACTCCCCACTCCCTTACTGTGAGTTAGCATTCACATATCAGAGAGAACATTTGGCCTTTGGTTTTGGGGGGATTGGTTTACTTTGCTTAGCATGATAGTCTCCAGTTCCATCTGTTTACTGGCAAATGCCATAATTTCATTCTTCTTTATGGCTGAGTAATCTTCCATTGTGTATATATATTACATTTTCTTTATCCACTCATTTGTTGAAGGGCAACTAAGTTGGTTCCATAACTTAGCTGCCGTGAATTTAGTTGCTATAAACATTGATGTGGCTGTGTCACTGTGGTATGCATATTTTAAGTCCTTTGGGTGTATGCCAAGGAGTGGGATAATTGGATCAAATGGTGGTTTCATTCCAAGCTTTCTGAGGAATCTCCATACTGCTTTCCAGGGTGGTTGCACCAATTTGCAGTTCCATCAGCATTGTATAAGTGTACTTTTCCCCTGACATTCTGGCCAACATTTATTTTTACTTATATTCTTGATAATTGCCATCTGGTTGGAGTGAGGTGAAATATCAGTTAGTTTTAATTTCAAGTTCTCTTTTAATTTGTTTGAATTGGTAGTTTCTCTAATGCCTGTTCAGTTTTCCAAAGTCTTTGTTATGCTGCTTTGGGTCTGGTCTTCTGTGCCAACTCACAGGTGAGTATAGGACCATTGCTGGTTCATATTCATAATTTGGGGATCCTTTTTCTAGTTCTCATCTCTCTAAGATTATCCCCATGCTGTGTGGCTCACAGAGAGCCTGTTCTTGGCATCCTGGCCAGAAAGTATTATCTCCTATCCTGCTGCAGTTCACAGTTAGGACTGCATTCAGATTGATGCAGTGAGAAAGTGGGGTAAAAAGAGCAAGTAAACAGGAAACTCTTCTGTATAAATTGCTTTTTCTGGTTTTGATTTTTTTTTTTCTTCTTAATCTTTCTACTTTTGCCTCTTTTTCATGGTCCTCAGTAGTGGCTTTTTATATTTTTATCCATAGTTTTTAGTTGTAATCAGTGAAAGTAAGGTCTTAATGGCAGAGTCCATCTCAGACAGCACCAGAAGTCTTGATTCTCTCACATTTAGTTTCTCAGAGGTAACTTTTTCTTTCTACTTTCTTGCAAGATGGACACTTTTGCCAGTGTTAGAATTTTAATTACTTATACTATTTTCTTAAGCACTTTGAGATTATTATTCCATTGCTTCTGGCTTCCATGTTTCTGGTGAAAAGCCAGCTATTGGTCTTATTTTGGCTTCTTTAAAGCTAAAATGCTATTTTAAAGATGTTCATTTTGTCTTGTTTTTCATTGTTTTACTTAGCTACACCTGGGTATATTTTTCCTGTTTGGGTTTCACAGTGTTTCTTGGATCTCCAAGTTGATGTCTTATAGCATAACTGGAAAATTCCCAGCCATTATCTCTCCTTAAGAGCTCATTTTTTTGTTGAACAGTATACAAAGTGAAGTTCACAAATCTCAAGTGTATAGTTTGATGAATTTTAACATGTGAAAGATATTACCAGGATCATCATCTAGATCAAGATTCAGATCATTTCTCATACACCTCATGCCCTTTCTTGGTCAGTAAATACTCCACCTACCTGCATATAGAGGTGGCCATTGTTATGAATTTTGACACTGTTTCAGTTATTTCTTGTTTTTGAACTTCATATAATTGGAATTGTATAGTGTATAGCCTTTAGTGTCTTGTTTCTTTGCTCTTAATCATGTATCTTCATCCATATTCTCTGTGTTAGCAGTTATTTTTAATACTTTGAATATTATATTGATAAAACTGAGGGACTTTGGGTTTTTTCTGATTTTTGGTGTCAAGTTTTCTATGAATATTCTTGTACATGTTTTTTGGTACACATGTGGGCTCGTTTCTGTTGAATACATCCAGAATTTAGGAGTAAAATTACAAGGTTATTGCATAGGCTTATTTTTCAGCTCTACTAGATATTTCCATTAGCTGTTATTTCTTTAAATGTTTATATACATATTAGACTTTCTCATTTCATCCATGCACCTTTTAACTTCTATATTTTCCATTGTATTACCTTTGTTTTTTTCAAATGTATTGTTTTTAGTGCACTAATTTTTTCTTCAAATGGATCTTTTCTGTAAACCCATCCTTTAAATTTATCATTTGAGTAATTTGTTTTTTTCAATGTATTATTTTCCATTTGGTTACTCTTCATTAGTTCTCTGGCAGTTCCAAATTTTGTCTTTTCAGTCTTTAAATAAGTTTCTAATAATTTACATATCTGGTATTGTAGACCTGTTTCTTTTGTCTGTTTTTAAGTATATTTCTTCTGTAGTTACATTTGAGTGCTGCATATTGTAAGTTGAAAAGTTATTGAAATAATAATAAAGCCTACGATGATGTCATTTTCCTTATGAGGGGGAGGCCTCGTGGTATTCAAAGTGCTGAATCACTTTAATCTAGTTACAGGAATTGGGATTATATATAGTCTTTTTTTTTTTAAACTTTGAGACAAGGTTTTGCTGAGTTGCTTAGGGCCTTGCTAAGTTGCTGAGGCTGGCTTTGAACTTGCAATCCTCCTGCCTCAGCCTCCCAAACCACTGAGATTACAGGCATGCATCACTGTGCCTGGCTTATATATATAGTTATGAAGGTTAGATTATTTAAAATTGTTCCCTTTCCCTAGGATGTGGGCCTCTGGGAACCCAACCCAAGTGTGGGATGTTAACCCCGGGGGTCCCTTTGCTTGATGTGTTCTGGGCTCTTCACTTTTGCTACCCTATCCTGGGGTTTTTAAACATCCTACTCAGCTTCTGAGTGTCATGTCTATTTCTTCTGAAGTAGGTACATGCTTCTAGAGAACTATTTCAGATACTATACTCTCCACATGTCCTCAGCCTGGTCCTTAGCTCTGAGATTTTTTTTTTTCTTTGTTAGTTTTCCAGTGTCTTCAAGTAATATAATTTATAATTTCATACAGTTTTTCTGATTCTCAGGTAGGTTAGTTGGTTCATATTATACTTTTTAAGTCATCAAAGTCCCTAAGAACATTAAAACTAATTCAAAGGTGTTAATTCAGTGATGTTAATTGTGTAGGTATTGCCCTTCAGTATTCCATCTTAGAAGATTGTAGCTAGTTCAGAAAAGATTAATTTTTTTTTCTTTGAAATGCCACCTTTTGTGTGTGGAGACAGCTCCAATTTTTTATTGATTTTTTTTTTTAAAAAATTTAGTCTTTTTTTTTTTGTCTTTTTTAAAAATTTTTATTTTTTTATTGATTTTTTTAAAAATAAGTGACAGTGGAATGCCTTACAATTCTTATTATACATATATAGCAAAAATTTTTCATATCTCTGGTTGTATATAAAGTATGCTGACACCAATTCATGTCTTCATACATGTACTTTGTGTAATGATGTCCATCACATTCCACCATCCTTGCTAACCCCCTTCCCTTTCCCTCCCACCCCTCTGCCTTATCTAGAGTTTGTCTATTCCTCCCATGCTCCCGCTCCCTACCCCACTATGAATCAGACTCCTTATATCAGAGAAAACATTCAGCATTTGTTTTTTTGGGATTGGCTAACTTCACTTAGCATTATCTTCCCCAATGCCATCCATTTACCTGCAAATGCCATGAAAAAATTTTGGTCTTTTAAAAACTGTTATCTGTCACTAGTTCACTTGGTTTCACATCTGTCTAGAAAGCCATATAATGCTGTTTGGTCATGGCAGCACCTTGGGTTATCTGAAAGGTTGGTACTTTATATACAACACATGAGCATGTGTCTGTTAAAAGGAGAGATGGTCACCACGGACCAGTAAAATATTCATTCTGAACCCAGAATAATAAGAAGATGGCACTGTTAATTTCAGAATAATTAATTTGCTAACTGTATATTTTTCATGTATGCATTTTGTTTAAGATCTCTGCACTTGTCCTAAGAGCCCAAGCATCAGAAATCTTACTTGAAGAGTTGCAGCAGGGCTTTTCCCAGGCAAAGAGGGATGTTCAAGAACAGATGGTAAGTCAATATTTTAAATACGTGTTACATACATTTATTCCTTGTCCATTTTTAAATCATCCGACGTGACTTTATCACCCTGTTCAAAGTGGTTACTGTTATGTTCTACAGAGCCTATGGGATGAAAGTAGTAGACAAAATCCTGCAAAGACATCTTTCTTTTTTTTAACCAACCTCACCCTTCTCCTCAATCTCTCATCTTTATTTAACACAATTTATTTTTCTGATTTTGGAAACTTAAACACAATGAAGTGTGGATCAATGTTTAATTTTTCAATTCCAAATACAAGCTAAAAAATTGAAATCTCTCATGAGTTTTAGTTGATACAGCTTTTTGAATAGTCATTATGCTTTTCCTGGACAGCTAATTTACTTTGAATAACTTCAGTAATTTTGTGGGGATTATGAAAAAAATATATATTGTGCCTATTGTGGATTAGGGGAACTTTCTGAAGGCCATCAATTCTGAAAGGGATGAAAGCAGAGAGCTTTAAGAACAAGGGTTGGCTGGAGCCTTTGCAAAGTAGTTCCCAAGCTCAGGCCTCCTTCATCACAAGCCTGGCTATATTTGCCTCATGCATCCTTTTTCTCAAAGTTGGAACCCTGCATCTGGTAGCCTGAGTAAATTATGGCAGAGTTGGTCCTGCTGGTATGACCATACAAAGCTGCTTCTTACTCAGTTCATCTAGGGCTGACAATTTTTTTTGGTGCATAATTATACATAATAGTGGGATTCAGTTACATATTCATACATGCATTGGCCAGTATTTCTCCAGTCCCTCTGTTCCTTCCTTTACTCTACTGGTCTCCCTTAGATTTTCATGAGACCCCTGCTCCCCACTTTCTTTTCCTTTTTAGTTTCAGGCATGACTGATTAAAAAAAAAAGGACAGAAACAAAAGTCTGTATGTGGAATGGTAATGATTTGTTTTTGATTGGCATTCAGCCATTGTCTGGAATGCACTTGGAGCAGATCCCTGAGTCCTGGCCCTCTTGGCTGGGAAGACCCATCCTAATCATTGACTGGAGAGTTCAAATTGATTCTCAGATCAGAGAACACAAAATAACAATCAAATAAATGATGACAAGGTTTCCTGCTGTGGTCCCCTTGCACCTTCTTCTTTCTTGTCTTTTGGAGGCCCTCTTCCTTTGCAGACACTTTTCAGGTTGATTCCACTTTAAACAAGTGTGTTGCAGGATGACATTGGAGAATTGTTGGAATTAAGGTTGAGGTCTTGTTAACTCCAATCTTTTTATCATTTTCTCAAAATTAGCACGAATAGTTCTTATGCTGAGAGAAAAGCTCAATCTGTCAGACCACTGCAGAGTGACTATAGTGGACTTAGGAATCTTAATATTTTCCCCTAACATTTTATTTTGAAAAATTTCAAACCTGCAGGGAAGTTTATGGAATCAACTCCTGAGATACCTTCATGTTAGTACACCAGTTGCTAATCTTTTGCTACTTCAGTGCATTTGCTGTATCATTTGTGCTTATGTATGTTGTGGTTTGTTTCTGCTACTTATTTGGAATTGAGTCATAGACATCATGATACTCGTAAATTCTCAATATTCCTAAGATGTTCTACGTGACCATAATACTTATTATATTCTTTTTTTTTTTTTTGGTGGTACTGGAGATTGAACCCAGGGCCTTGTGCATGTAAGGCAAGCACTCTACCAACTGAGCTATATCCCAGCCCTCATTACATTCTCAAAGTTTATCTAATTGTCCCTAATATTTCTTGATTTTTTTTTTTTTTTTTTTTTTTTTTTTGGTGTGGTGGTTGTGACTTTTTTTTTCTTTTCTTTTTTTTTTGGTTCAGGAACCAATCAAGGATCTCATTGCATTTTAAAAAAATATTTATTTTTTAGTTGTAGTTGGACACAGTACCTTTATTTTTTATTTTTTTTAATTCAGTGTCGATTATCGAACCCAGGGCCTTGAACGTGCTAGGTGAGCACTCTACCGCTGAGCCACAACCCCAGCCCCTACATATTGCATTTTGTTATAATGTTACTTTAGTCTCCTTTAATCTAGAACAGACCTCCCCCTTTTCATGACCTTAATGTTTTTGAAGAGTCCAGTCCAGTTGCCTTGTAGAATGTTTTAAGCTAATTGTCTTGCAGAATGTATTTCTATCTGCTCCCATACATAATTATTTCAGTTTGTGTTTGACTTATTCTGATTTTTTCCTCATGATTAAGTTTAAGTCAGACATTTGGGCAAGAATATTACCTAAGTTTATAACATCATGAGGCACATAACGATGAGTAGTTCCATTATTAGTGATGTTAAATATGATTAATTGGTTAAGGTGGAGATAAAATAATTTCAGGCTGCATCAGTATTGCTATTAACAGTTAACTTTTGGGCTGGGGATGTGGCTCAAGTGGTAGCGCGCTCGCCTGGCATGCGTGCAGCCCGGGTTTGATCCTCAGCACCACATACACATAAAGATGTTGTGTCCGCCAAAAACTGAAAAATAAATATTAAAAAATTCTTTCCAAAAAAACCAGTTAACTTACCAAGTAAAATTCAACATTTCTTTGTAGTTGTTTCTCCCCTTAGAATGTATACAAGGTAAAGGATTCCAGTTTGGGTACTGTGTTCAGAAGTTACATGAGTTGAATTTTCTTTTTGGTTATATTATCAATTTGATACATAGTTTGTTTTGTACTTTGTTTTGTATCTTTGTTTCTGTTTGTACTACATTTTCATATGTCCACTTTTCTTTCTTGATTACTTTTTTTTTAAAAAAATATGTAGCCTGGTTAAATGTGTATACTCTTCTCTTTCCTATCCTGCCGCAGTCCGGCTGCAGCAAAATAACCGGGGGGTGACGAGCAACTTGTGTAGATTGATACAGCAGGAGTGGGAGCCGTTTATTGTAGGACAGGAGGGGTACATATGCATTCCACATAGCTTATCTTAATTAACATAAACTAGATACAGCAGTCAACCAATAAGGAATCTCCACACTTAATGGCTCGATGGAGCCACCTCACAAACCACTCCCCCTGGCAAAATGCCAGGTACCATCCTGACTTGTTTACAGACTCTAACACTATCCCTTTTACCCAATTTCTTTTTTAAAAAATATTTTTTTAATATTTATTTTTTAGTTGTAGTTGGACACAATACCTTTATTTTATTTATTTTTATGTGGTGCTGAGGATCAAACCCAGGGCCTTGCACGTGCTGAGCGAGCACTTTACCGCTGAGCCACAACCCCAGCCCCTTTCACCCAATTTCTATCTGCTCCCATACATAATCATTTCAGTTTGTGTTTGACTTATTCTTCTGTTTAAAAAAAATTTTTTTTTTGGTACTGGGGATTGAACCCAGGGTGTTTAATCATAGAGCTACATCTCCAGCCCCCATTTTTTTTTTAAACATGCCAACCGCACACAACTATTTTTTTTTTTTAATAAAAGGGAGAGAGGAAGAAACACTCATTTTCTTCTTTTTCTTTTTTCATACTCAAAAGGTAGTAGGATGCTAATATTTAGTTATAAATGAATGGAAAATGATCATAAAACACAGCTGATTGTAGCCTAAAGAAAATAAGAGCCAGGACTGGAGGAAGAGTGCTTGCCTAGCATGTGTGAAGCACTGGGTTCATTCCTCAGTACCACATAAAAATAAAATAAAGGTATTGTGTCCACCTACAACTAAAAACTAAATATTTAAAATAAAAAAAAAATAAAATAAGAGCCGGTGGAGCTTAACCAAAATTTGTCAATGATTTTGACTGCCTATCTGCAGCTCATTCATCACCTCCTCTTCCTTCCCCTAATTAGGTACCCCTTTGTCCTTTTATTGCTCAGTATAGTTTTTGTTACAGCACTTGCTTTGGTATACTTGTCTTTCTCTACTTGACTTTTAGCTTTTTCAGAGCAAAGTCTCTCTCTCTCTCTCTTTTGTCTTTACATTCCCTGTGGGCAGAAAAACATCTACCACAGAGTAGTAGCTGCTGAATAAATATTAGATGAGTGAGTAATCTACATTATGTATGCCCTTATGGCAAATGACTTAGTATTAAAAATTAGCAGAAATGAAATACTTTTGTAGTACAATAACTTCTACTCAAATTAGCTAGAATAACTTTTATATTTGTACAAATTAATATGAAATATCTAAAATTATTTTACACTTGAGCAAGTGGAAGAATATAAGCATATTCTGTTGTAAGAATGAGCTTCTCAAGGGCCATGTTAACTGAGCTTAGATCCTCTTGATGGCTTGCAGCATTGGGACTGCTGGGACATTCACAGTGATCCTAGATTTGAACAGACATGCATGTAATGGAAGAGGAAGACACTGCTTTTTATTTTGCTACACTTCCTGTTGAATACATGCCCTAAGGACAGGAGTTGTCTTAGAGGACATCTCCATTTGATGCGGTCTTTTTCTTCTCTTTCTACTCCTGGATATTGAACCCGGAGGTGCTTAACCACTGAGCCACATTCCCAGTCCTTTTCAGATTTTTAATATTTGAGACAGGGTCTCACTAAGTTGCTTAGTGCCTCTTAAATCTTTTACCTCAGCCCCCAAAGCTGCTGGGGTTGCAAGTATACGCCACTGTGTCCAGCTCTCAGTCCTTTTTATTCTTTATTTTGAGACAGAATATTGCTAAGATATCTAGTCTTGAACTTGTGATTCTCCTGCTTCTGCCTCCCAAGTAGTTTGGATTATAGGCCTGTTCTGCTACGCACCTCCATATAGGCCTTGATTCTATTGGTAACTTCCATTGAGCTGGAGATCGTGGTCTTCTATAGCCCAGAGATGGGGGCAGGGGGAAAACCTCATTATTTTTGAGATATTGATAGAAATATGGAAGAATGAGCTTAGTTCTTTGTCTCATTGCCCATCTCCTTGTTGAATACAAAAGCTGCAATCAGAAAAAAAAATTCTTGAGTTGCTCTTTCTAAGTCTTGCCGAGCTTTATTACACACCCCTCCATCCTCAAATCTCATTGGGTTTGGCCTTATTTTTCTCTGGTCTGGCTATCACTAGACCAGAATTACTTTTCTGGCTGTGATTAGTATCTATTTCTATTTCAGGCAGTGCTGATGCAGTCACGGGAACAAGTTTCAGAAGAGCTGCTGAGGTTACAGAAAGACAATGACAGTCTCCAGGGAAAGCATAGCTTACATGTGTCCTTGCAGCAAGCAGAAGACTTCATCCTCCCAGACACGATAGAGGTTAGTGTATTTCCTGTGTGATCCAAAATGTAAACAAGTGTGTTTTTTGAAATGGCTATAAATTCTTTTTTAAAACAACTTTATTGAGATATAATTCATTTACTAAACAATTTAATCTTTTTAAAGTATACAATTCAGTGTTTTCTAGTATATTCATAAATAAGTGTAGCCACTATGACAGTCACTCTTAGAACATTTTTCACCTAAAAACAAACATACATAAAAAAACAACAAACTCTTACCCTTTAGCCATCACTCCTGTTCCCCCTCTACCCCAACATCAACCAACTACTAATTTACCTTCTATCTCTATAGATTGCCTATTCTGGCCTTTCATGTGAATGGAATCATATCACATTCCATAGTATTTTGGGTCTGACTTCTTTCATTGGGCAGCACTATTTATTTCTTCAGTGATTGAATAAAACTCCATTGTATGGATGTTTTATCTGTTGATGGACATTTGGGTTGTTTCCATTTGGGGACTGTTACAAATAATGCTGCATAAACATCCACATGCAGAGTTTGGTATGGCCATGTTTTCATCTCTCTGGGTATATACCTTGTAGTGGAATTGCTAGGTTATGTGGGAACTCTGTTTAAATCATTGGAATCTAATTAAACTGTTTTCTAAAGCGGTGGCACAGAACTATCTTGTCTTCCCATCATCAGTGTGTAAAAGCTTGGATTCCTCCACATCCTTGCCAACACTTCTTGTTATTTTTGATTATAGCCATCCTAATGAGTTTGAGATGGTAATTCATTGTGGTTTTCATTTGCATTTCCCTAATGACCAGTGGTAATGAACATCTCTTCATGTGCTTATTGGCCTTTTGTATATCTTCCCTAGATACATGTTTATTTAGATCCTTTGTTAATTTAAAAATCAGATTATTTGTCTTTTTCTTAACTGAGTCATAAGAGTTCTTTATATTATTTAGAATAAGTCCTGTATGAGATACAATTTGCAAATGTTTTCTTCCATTTGAGGGGTTGTCTTTTTTGACTTTCTTGGTGGTATCGTTTGAAGCACAAAATATTTTAATTTTAATGAAGTCCAGTTTGTCTATTCTTTTCTACTGTTCCTTGTGCTTTTGGGGTCATGTGTAAGAATCTTTTGCCAAATTCAAGATCTGTGTAGTTATTCAGAACTAGATAGAGAGAATGCCAGAAATTAAAATTTAAATTAAATTAAAAACAGTCACCACATTGGCTCCTTATATTTATTTTTTTTCTAGCTCTGAAAGGTCAAATTACACCCATCATCTTTCTGTTCATAAAGAAAATACTTTGGGGTCACTTATATTCTTCTGTGGTTGGGTGAATCTGGGCTATAAAATCAGTTTCCTTTGGAAATTTGTCCCCTTAACTTGATCCTACTTTTATACCCTTTTCTTTTTTTTTTATTTTTACTTTTATTTCTAGATGTTTGTTAGATGAGCACTCTACCACTGAGCCACAACCCCAGCCTAATTATTTCTAGAGTTTGAACATATAAAAATTATCTTCTTAGACTAAACCTATTAAACCCTATAAGCAGTACAGGTGAAGATGAGATTTCTTAGAGCAATTTCAAAGTGAAGCAGAAAAATATTGTTTGTAAGGTCCCTTTTTCTTTTGTATTTTAAATTATAATTGTTTAAAAAATGTATTTAAAAATCAAACATTAAATAAATTTATAGTTTTGTGTGTTTCCCTTAAACCTGTTCTGTAGATTCAACCTCTACAATATGGACCTCATTCTTTTTTCTTATGCACATCTTAACATTATTGTTATTTTTTACTTTTATTTGATGATTTATATTCAATTGTTTATCTTGCCTTTAGCCACATGCAGTCATGCAGTCACCTCCCACAGCTTGTGTCTAGTTCAGGTTCCTGGCTTTCATAGGAGAGCCTTCCTCCTTGCTCATCAGAAGGTATTGGAAACCTGGGTGCTTTGCTATTAGCTTAAAATCACTATACTATCACCTGCTGTCTATAGAAAATTATAGTTGCTATACTTTTCTCTTTTGGTCAGAAAGACTTCTCTGTTCTGTATTCTCTACAGACTTTTTATTTCTAGATTTTAAAGGTTATCTAAAAATACCAGTTTTTACTTTACAGTTGCTTTAGGATATAACTGGAAATATTTTTAGAAGATGCCAGTACTAAAATTTAGGGGAAAATAAGATTCGCACTGAATTTATTATAGAAAAACAGCTAATCACCTTAGAAGCATCCTTTGCTACTTAGCTCTGGCTTGAGATACTATTTTGCCTATGGTAGATATTCAGATTAAATGAATAAATAGGTAAGTAATTAAATTTCATTCTCTTAGAGTTCACACTTACTCCTGAGGATTTTTCCCCCCTTCACTTAAGCTACTATTTCTAGTGAACCTAGTATTGCAAGTCATTTAACATTTTAATTGTTTTGCTTAGGAAATAGGTTGAGGGAAACATGTAGTTCACAACACACATTTTTGACTGGAATTGTCTTTCTTCTGAAACATTGGGCATTAACATGACATGTCATTTGCCTTTGAAGCCCTATGTGGGTTAAAGATCAGAGTCTTAATATTTGAATCATTTAGAACAATATCTGAAATTCTGGTTGTAGAAGATCTTTTGTTTCTTTACTTCCTTTCACCATCACAAATCCAATAACTACTTGTTTCTTGAATCCAGGTGCTCCGGGAATTGGTTTTAAAATACCGTGAGAACATCATTCATGTGCGGACAGCAGCAGACCACATGGAAGAAAAGCTGAAGGCTGAGATACTTTTCCTAAAAGAGCAGATTCAAGCAGAACAGTGTTTAAAAGAAAACCTTGAAGAAACTCTGCAGCTAGAAATAGAAAACTGCAAGGAGGAAATAGGTGAAGATAAAAGTGATATAGTGTAGAATTGGTTACTAAATAAAACTTTTACTTCCTTTTTTTCTTGGCGGGGGTTGGGGGGGCAGCGGTACTAGAGATTTAACCCAGGGGTGCTCTACCACTCAGCTATACCTGGCCCTTCATTATTTTTATTTTGAGATAGGGTCTCAGTAAGTTGCTGAGGCTGGCCTAGAACTTAGGATCTTCCTGACTTAGCCTCCCGAGTCACTGGGATTAAATAAAACTTCTCTGATTGTGAAAATTAATAGTTGGTCATAGGATGTGGAAAAGAGGAAAGTATAGGAAAAAAGTAAGGATTCAACCCATTTTTCTCAGATGTTCTGATATATCTAGTAATATGGCAACTAAAAAACTGAAAACAAAAAATCTTGTGTTTTTTAGGAGCTCTGATGACCTTTCTTTGTCAGTTACTAACAGAAAAGAACACTGGAATCCAGGCCACTGGGAATGCAGTTAGATGGGTGATATTTCCAAGTAGAACTTTGATGTGTTAACTGCTAGGAGTATCTTTTCCCCCTGACAGTCAGATGTGTATACTTGATGGAGAGGTAGTTTATAATAGTGTCCTTTCATGTGGACTCTGCCTTTACCTGAGCTTGATAATGATGCTGCTTGGTTGGGGATAGTTTTGAGAAAGGACCTTTTCCCCCATGTTCAGTATATATTTGAGTCCTTTGGTGTAGCTTAAGGAAAAAATAATAATGCACAATAATAAATGATTGCTAATATTTCTCCCCTTTCCTCTTACAGCTTCCATTTCTAGTCTGAAGGCTGAATTAGAAAGAATAAAAGTAGAAAAAGAACAGGTGAGTCATAAGTTTAAAATTAATTCTGTCAACAATCAGTTGATATTTAATCTTAGAGCCAAGGAATAAGAAATAGTTGAGCACAATACTTGGCCTTTAAGGAACTCTGGATGATGATGAACATTTATTGAGAGGCTGTTGTGTGTCAGGCTGTGTTGACTGGAGGAGGAAAGGGGAAGAGGATGACTTGACTGTAGCCTGGAGTCTCCATTGTCGTGGGAAACAGGCAGGCATGGTCCTGACATGATGTACACATAAAGCTACCGTAGGAGTGTGTAGAAAACATTTCTAAGTAGAGCATGCTGTCTAGCTGGCTTGGAGTCCTCTTTTAGACAACACAACACCTGTGGCAGGTAACCCATTCAGTTCCTGGCCTCCTTATTCCTTTAGTCAGAGATCTTGGCCTCCACTCTGCCCTCCTTGGCCACAGCTTTCATCATCCTGGTCTTACTCCTACAGGTCCTTCTGGGTACTTCCTCCACTTCTTTACTTCCCTAACTTTTAACTTTTCCTTTCTCTTGGATTAAGTAACTCCTTCTTGGCTTTGCTTTCTTTACTTCCAAGCTGCAACTTAAACACCTTGCCTCTTCAGCTAGTCTTCCATGCACATTCTCCAATCCCCAGATTCCTTGTCCTTCTGCTGCCCTCATTTAATTACTGCCCAACTTTGGCTTAGACCTGGTGTCCCCAGGCTGCTGATGCCATCAGTTCTGCTCGTGCTGTTAGATGGGGCTCTGGTGTTCCCAGACAGCCTTTCATTTGTCCTAAGGTGTCTCTCTTCCATCCCCTGTGGGGACTACTTCAGTCATTATCACCTCAAATCCCTCACACTCAGCAGATGCTGAGCTCACTCTGCAGTCATAATGCAGGACCATCTTCAGGCTCCTCGGTCACTTGTTCTCCTGCTCTTATTCCCAGCCTTCTCTCTTCTTTCTTGAGAAAATGATGATCTGTTTCTCACCATAGTATGTCACTGCAGAGGTGCTTTCACTGAATCCCTCTCGTGTTTTCCAGCCTTCCACTCTGAGTCTTGGGCTCTTTGTTGATCTTTCCTATTACTCAGATATGTTCAGGTGTCTCCCATTAAAAGGGAAAGTTTCTCTTTGCACTTCTCTCAAGCCACCTTTCTTTTCTTGACTGCCACATTTTTGTTTTTAGTGCTTGGGATTGTGTCCTTGGATTTGCATGTGCTAGGCAGGCACTGAGCTACATTCTCAGCCCTTGTTTAGTTTTATTTTGAGACAGGGTCTCACTGAGTTGCTCAGGCTGGCCTTGAATTCTAGGTCTTAAGCTGTCCTGCCTCAGCCTTACAAGTAGCTGAGATTACATGAATGCCTGGCTTTTGTGCAACATCTTTTTTTTTTTTTTTTTTAAGGTAGGGCCTCACACATACTAGGCAAGTACTCCACCACTGAGCTGTACCCCAGCCCTTTTTATTTTTTATTTTGAGGCAGGGTCTCACTGGTTGCCCAGGCTGGCCTTGAACTTGTGATCTTCCTGCCTTGCTGGAATTAATAGGTGTGTGCCACTGTTCCTGGCTTGCTGACACTCTTGAAGAGGGGCCTCACAAGCAGTCCTTACCTGCTGCAGCCTGCCTCTGCCTCCACTTGGCTACTATGATTGCATTATAGAGATGACTATAGAGCTGGTAGTGTGGCTCAGTGAGCCACGTGTGTGAAGCTCTGGGCTCAGTCCCTAGTGCCAGAAAGCAGGGGTGCGGGTGGGAGAAATGAGAGAGGGAATAAACTGTACTCAGATAACTAACACCTTATCATTTTACTCCACTGTCACCCTGTGTGGTTTCAGACTCACTTCTCACCTTAAATATTTTAAGAGCTTGTTTCTTAGCCAGGTGAGGTGGTACACACCTGTAATCCCAGCAGCTCAAGAGGCTGAGGCAGGAGGATCATGAGCCAGCCTCAGCAACTTAGTGAGGCCCTAAGCAACTCAGTGAGACCCTGTCTCTAAATAAAATATATACACACACAAAAGTGCTGAGGATGTGCTTCAAAAAAGAGCTTGTTTCCTGTCTCCTGAATTTAGCATCTTGAAATTCATCTCTATATTAAAAGCAAGGTGATCTTCAAAAAATTACAAACTCAACTATGACGTCTCTTGTTGAAAAACCTTCCAGTGGCTTCCTTTATCCACAGGACAAGTTGGTATTCCTTAGCCAGCCAGAGATCTCTTCTTGCCTGACATGCCTCAAATTCTACAGCCCGGACACTGCTGTGGGTAAGAACCCACCACCATTCCTGAAGGCATTTTTATGCATGCCACCGTTTCCCTCTTTTTTGTCTCTGTTTCTTTTCTCCCTGTTTTCCTGCCTCTATAAACATTTTCATCTTTTAATAGTCAAGCAGCATTTCTTCTAGGAAATACTTCTTAAGTTTTCTGGCAGAATTAAGTACTTTTTCCTTCTTCTGGGTTCACATGCCATAATTATTAACATGTCTGGTCTCTCCTGATTTCTCCAGCTCTAAGCCTTAGAACATGGTAGGTACCCAATAAGTAGTTAATGAAAAAATAGTTCTGGAAGGAAAAACAGAATCCAGACATTAAAAGGTGAGAAGTACATTCCAAACATAGCCTGTAGGCTTTTCTAGGCAGCATGCTGTGGCCTATAGGGAGTTTGTAAGGTTCAGCTTTTTCCTTTTTAATTTTACAGTTGGATTCTACATTTAGAGAGAAGTCTCAACAGCTTGAGAATCTTCAGGAGATAAAGATCAATTTGGAAGACCAGTTAAAGAAAGAGACTGCTGCTAAGGTGATATTTTTGTGGTTATTTAACTTTTAAGGCTAAGAATGTAGGAACACATCTTAATTGTTTACAAAACCAAATCAAACCAATATTGCTGGTATGGAATATCACCTTCTGAAAGTAGGGAAGACTAGCTGCTTGCAAAAAGAAAATGAATTTGAATCAGAGTTGGAGTAAATCTTCATTCTGCCAGCCCTAGAGGCCTGTCATAGGCTTCAGTAGGCCAGACTGGCCATCAGGGCCATTAAACCAAGCTTGGGCAATGCCCAGTTAGAAACATGCTTTGAAATGTTCATTTCATTTGAATGATGTGTCAGATCATATGATTGTATTGAACCACATTTACTGCCTGAATTGATTGATCCAGTTAGAATTGAAGGGCATTTGGCTAATTGTAGGGAGAGTTGCCTCTAGAAAGCATCTTAGTGAACTGTGTGGTCAGACATTTAGGTGCAGAAATGTTCTGTTGGTGTTATTCAATAGCCACTTGTCTTTAGAAAGGCAACAGTTCACATCCTGCTGAAGTTTTGTGCTATAAGGAAGACTGGGGCATATTTACTGAGAATTTTCCTGGTGGATATTTGTCTGTTGTGATTGTCAGAGGAAATCCCTGAGGTTTCTATCCCTGTTGCTGTGACAGCTACTGATCTTAGCAGCTGTTTTTATATTAATCACTGTCACCAGTTGCTAGAGGTAGCTGGTGCAGTACTTTAATCCATTTTTATCCTGGCTTTTGTGTCCAATTCATTTTAGATCCTAGAGCAGATATCTTGGCCAGTTTGCACCCTTGTCCTATAGATAAAGAGAGATTAGTGGGATATGGGAGATATCTTCCCTAGGAGTAGGTAACAAGTTTAAGTTTCTGAGTAATTCTGACTTTTGCCTCTTTGGCATTAACATTCAAAACTTTTATATTTTAGGCTGCTGTTGAGCAACTAATGTTTGAAGAGAAGAACAAAGCTCAGAGATTACAGACAGAATTAGATGTCAGTGAACAAGTCCAGAGAGATTTTGTAAAGCTTTCTCAAACCCTTCAGGTGAGGCATTTGGGGAACCACTGTGAAACTGTGGGGAGAGAATCTTGCCATCCTTGAGCACTAGAGTAGCTAGCAATGTAGTGACTGCAGCTGCTTTTACCTCTACCCCAAATGTCTACCTAGACAATCAAGCCAGAACCTACAGAACCTTGATCTCTTTCCTCTATACCTTGCTATATGAGTATAAACTTGTATTTTATGACCTAAATTTTTAAAAAACTACTTAGTGTCCAGCCCAGAGCATGGTGTTCCCTCCAGTAAATTCCTTGTCTCCCCCTGACTCCTTTCCTTGAGGGCCCAGCTTATGTTTGTCCTCTCAGTGGAACCTTCTAGGTCCCTGAGCTGAGTCTGAAGTACTTCCTTCCTCCACCATGCTCCCTCGGCACTCTGTCAATGTCTAGTGACATTTAGTAGACTGTCAGCTTGTTTTCTTCCCAGCTGAACTGTGTCTTCTTGGGGATTGAGTCAGGTCTCCATAATCACAGCATTTATATTCATAATACTAGATTGTTACAAAGTAGCTTTGGGGAATTTTAAAAATTAAATTGTTCTTGCTGCTGCCTTCCTTCTCTGAAATGACTGCTCTGGTGAATTAATCTGCTGCATCTCAGCTAAACCAAAGGCTGAGAAAATCTAGGCAATGGGCCACCTGCACATATCTCACCATTGTTTCTCCAGGTGCAGTTAGAGCGGATCCGGCAAGCAGACTCCTTGGAGAGAATCCGGGCAATTCTGAATGATACCAAACTGACAGACATTAACCAGCTCCCTGAGACATGACACCCTGACAGCAGGATTCTAGTCTGCACTTTGGGGTTTTTAACTCATCTTTAGATCAACATTAATTATTATTTAACTCTTAACTGAAGAAGCCGAAGTCACAATAAAAGGACGATTGGAGAAATGCTTATTTCTGGTGAGAGAAGACTGTGCAGCACAGGGACAGCCAGCAGCCAGGGTCATTTGCAGCCAACAGACCTTTCCAATGAACACTAACCAGACTCCGGGCTTGATTCCAACAGGTGTGGGATCAGATTTGGTGATGGAAAAGGGCTGTATCTTTGCCTGATTTCTCCAACATAAAATTTTCAAACACATTTTCTTACCCTAAAGCAACTTCCCAGTAGTGTTTGGAATTACATTTTCTGTTCATAGTGAGAGAATTTCTTTTTCTGTTGTCTAGAGAGCTCATCAGTAACAGTATTCAGATAGCAGACAGAGGTGTAGTATGCTGTATGAATATTTTATATTAAAATATGAAGTTTGAGAGCAGGCCATTGGCTACTGACTGTATTTCCCTCGTTTAGTGCATTTTCTTCTTTTTACCATTTTATCTTATATTGGAGGATTTTTAAATGCTACTGAAACTTGCCTAAGAACTTTAAGACTGTGGCAAACCAAACCAGTTCAAGTACAGAATTAGGAGGATTTGAAAACTTGGCTGAGGTTATATATGGATAATTATATATATGTATGTATATATACATATATATGTATGTATTGGAAGTTGAGTTTAAAGGAAAAGCACAAGAAACTATTTGGAAGCACTTTTTCTGCATACCTGGAAGATCTTCGTGGGCCCCACAGGTGCCAGGGTTGAACTGGCACCAGACTTTTGATGTTTTGGCCTAGTTATTGGATCAGTGAAAAAATAATAAACAAACTATACCTGACATCATCTATCATATATTTATAAATCTACTTATTTTCAACTTGAATCAGTGGGCTTAAATACTATTTGTTTTAAAAGTGTCAAATATAGAAAAGTAATGAGGTTTGGCAGATACTTACTTGATGTTTTCTTTTACAATTTTGATCTGGAGTGTAAGTGACAATGCTCACAGTGAAATTGGGGGGAAATCCATTTAGTGTATCAATCAGTTTGGAAATCTGCTCTGTCATTTTCCAAGAGTGTGAATTTCTTGTGTGAAGAAAACCTTGGTGGAACAAGTTGTTTTTGCCATAGCTTCATGAAGTGTTGCAGAAACAGTAAATTTGTGTCATGCTCACTGTTCACCTGCTGCAGTACTGCCCCAAAAGCAGCTAGTGGAAGGCTCTGTTTAATTCACCATGTACAACATTCAAAAGGAAAAATGTTTAAGTACTTTTTTTTAATTGATGTTGAATAGCAGAGGGATACCTGAAGGAACCTTATAGGAATTAGTGAACTTTGTTATAAATGAAGTCAGTATGGATTTGTCCTAAAGATCTTTCTTCCTCAGGATAAATGATAAGGACTACATTACATCATCCCATGGATTATTTTTGTAGTCTTGCATTCATGATTATGAATTTAAAAGTAAATACTAATTATGAAAGTAGTGCTAAAGGCTTGTCATGCATGAAACATTATAATTGATTGAAGTCCTTTTGTATAAAGTCTACTTGGTTTAAAGGAAACATGTCCTCTTTGAGTTACAGGGAATTTTGTTAGTTACAGAATATGATTTGCACAGTTAAGACTAGTTCCTTGCATAGGCCCCAAGCTTATTTAGCACTATAAATCATGAGGAGTAATTCGTAATCTTTCTGAACCATTGTTTCCAGTTAACTGCTGAGACTGAGCACCTTTTTTTTTCTCCAGAAGATGGGTATTGGGGCAATAAAATCATGATTAGGGAACTCTTCATGGTCTGTACTATGGCAGATGCAAACTGTTGGAATCCACTAAATTGAGAAAAATATCCTAGAAAAACCCAAATTGAGACTGCATTTTAACAGTCTGGTATGAAACAAACTGCTGTGATACTCTCCAGGTAGGATTTTCTGAATAAATGAAATCTGATTTAAGAAGGTGAAATTTATCCCTTCTAAGGAAAAGATCAGTTGGGTTTCACAAGTGTTCCTGTGCTTGTATTCAGTCTATGTACACCTGTTCTCTCGCATGTCTAACCCAATTTACCTCTTACCTGTAATGTACCTTACAATGTGGTTTTTAATTGGCAGTCACTTGGCCATTTCTAGGCAGGTATGGTTATTACCTTTCAGAACTCATATTGGCAGGTACAAAAAGATGTAAAGCTGAGACAAAACCATATACTGCCTACCAAGCTATTTCTTTCTTTCTTTAAGGTGCTAACACTTGCACCTTGTACCTACTCAGTCGAGACACAGCACAGCCAAACTCAGCTCTGAAAGGTAATAGTGCCTGTGAGAAGTGAGCAGAGGTGGCCTTGGCAATTGTGGATCTTTAGCTCTGCTCTGAGCAGATTGCAGGTGTAACTGTTGCTAACTGTACTGAAGGTGTTTCCTTAAGAAGAAGTGTTCAAATTAAAAAAAGCTGCTGCCCAGTAGACTGTGTGGCCTTTTCCTTTGAATTCTAGTGTTGTGATGCTACTTTAAAATGCAGCTCTTATTCTGGCTTCAATAGAGAGAAAGTTCAGTAGGGTCAAGGAGACTTGGAAGTGTACAGCTGAAAGCCTGTGTCTCAGGGTGGTTTTGTTTTTGAAAATGATACCGGGCCCTTGTTGCATACGATCACTGAGTTTAGTTATAAAGCACATTCTAATTTTTAAATATATTTATTCAATAATTATAAAACAAATATTAAAAATGATAAACCACACCAAATTCATCCAAAAAAATGCTTCTTTATAAATTAGTGCTGTTTGGTTTACAGTATGGGTTTGAATCTTCAGTTTTGTTAATTTCAGTTGTGAATCTAATCCTGGTGTCAGAAGTTTACATGATTTCGGATATCATTGATTTGCTTCACCATTTCCCTTATGTGTTCACCCCTGTAAAATCATAAAGTCACTCATTTTTAGAGATGAAAGTCATTAGTACAGAATCTTAAGAACTGAAACGAGTAATGCTGAATTATCTAAGAACTTCTTTGCTTAAATTAACAACTTAACGGTTCCAGATGGATAGTAGGTATTTACTCATTTAAGGCGGCAAACTGGTTCAACTACTGGAATTTATTTTTTGTGGCTAAGTACTGGGGATAGAACCCAGGATCTTGTGTATGCTACTTGATTGCTCTACCACTGAGCTGTATACCTCCAGCCCCAGGAATTTTTTTTTTAATATTTATTTTTTAGTTGAAGGTGGACACATGATATCTTTATTTCATTTTTATGTGGTGCTGAGGATCGAACCCAGTGCCTCACACATGCTAGGCGAGCATTCTACCATTGAGCAACAACCCCAGGAAATATTTTTGAACATAGTCTCTGTCTGGGAAAATACTTTTGACCACACAACAAAATCACATTATAGAAAAGCCATCATATTCCATACTCATTGCTAAGTCCCTATTCTAGTAATTAGTGATGTGCAGACACTAAAACTTGGGAATCTTTACCTGGGCAGACAGAGGTCGACTTTGGCATACTCCAGAGAAAAAAACTATTTTTACAACAATAGCAAGTTTATAAGCATTTACTTACTCCTCCTTCAGAATGGACTGGATGCATTTCCGCTGGTAGGCACTGAGGGTGATGCTCGGTTTTTGAGGACTTGGCACCTTTTCCATCTTTCGCTGTTGATAGTCTTTTTTCATAGTAACCTTAAGTAATCAAACAGAACATGAATATTTTAGTATGCTTTGCCACACGTTTTTACATGTTTTAATCTGTTCTTGTTATATTTTATGAAATTATTTTCTGTAGCATAATGCTTAAAAAATAAGACTGAATTTAACCACCTTGTACCCATTCCTACCTGTTTGATGGCATTGCCCAAATGTCGAAGTTGATCCGGTATCAGCTGTAATTCTTTCTTCATGTCTCTCTCACTATCAGAGAGAACTGGGAGCTGAGAGTGAAAACTGTGAAGTACTTTTTTCATCCTTTAGATAAGGTAAGCAAACATCTCAGCTTAAGATCTCCGCTAATTATGAGAAATATAATCACAATAAAGCTTGTAATTCAAGACTCTGGTATCTGGGGAGGAGGTCTCCACAGGATAGATTAGGGGAAAGTGACATATCTTTCCTAACATATACTTTGGAGGAGAAACAGGGATCCATTCAATTCTATAGGTATGTGAGCAACTGCTAAGGTCTATTTTCTTCATAATACTATTAGTACTTAATAAGGTTGCTAGTATCTGAGTAGGGAACTGAATATTACACAGCCCACTGACCTATTCATGATATCTTCTTGTTTTTCCTTGGCTTCCTCATATTTGTCAGCTAAGCGCTCAGCCATTTCCCGTAGACTCTTCCTGATGGCATAAGAAACAAAGACTCTTGGGGTTCACTGATGTGTTCAACATCTTGAGGTGAGATTCAGTCCCCTACATTACTGTTTCATTCTCCCTAGTTTTGACACTTACCTCTCCTCTCGACAATAATTGAGATCTTCTAGCTGTTTCTTTTTTTGGTCACATAATAATTTGACCCTTTAAGAAGGAAAATAAAGTTTAATCAGAAGCCAGGCCTGGGCTATTAATACAGCACCAGCTACCAACCAGGGACTAATGGTTGTGAACATAAGACATCCTACCTCCGCTGAATCTCTTCCTTTGCCAAGTCCTGCTTAAGAATGTATTGTTCTCTGAACACCTGGGTGGCTCTGCTGATAAGCTGAAGGCATTCCTCAGGAGGAGGGGCCAAATCCTTTTCAGATGATCTTAAAATGAAAATTTCTATCTTAGCCAAGTAAGACTAGTGAAAACAGAATGAGTCAGCTGCTTTTTTCCTTTTTTGCACTTATTTATTTTAAAACAAGGTCTTGCTAAGTTGCTGAGGCTGGCCTCAAACTTATGATCCTCTTGCCTTAGTCTCCAAAGCCATTGGGATTATAGGCATCCACCCCCATGCCCAGCTTCCTTTTTCACTTTGTTTATCACTCTCAGGTGTCACTTCTCTTCCTCTACTCACTAACTGATGAGATATGCCCTGTGTCTCTTCCACCTCCACCACAGTAAAGCAGATATGAAATAGCTGAGGACAGAAAGGATGTACAATAATTTTGAAGAGAGAGAACAAAACCCATTCTTAAAATCTGGATGCCCAAATCACATACTTGAGAAATGCTGGATTGGCAACACTACGTTGCAAAATGCTTCTAATATGCTTTTCAAAGGAATCTGGGGTCTCAGCCAGAATACGGAGAGGGGACTCTGTCACTTCAACATCTTCTCGGGTACACAGCAGGGGAGGAGAAGCTGGATGGACAGTACTTCTATAAAACAGATAAATGAAAGTCTACCAATGGAGTTATTTACTATATGAAAGCATAAACCAAACTTATCCAGAACTTGGAGAACATAAACAAAAAGTTGTTACTCAAAAGCACAAGAATGTATGTTTTCCACCTTGAAGAGATCACGTTCAGAAGTTGTCCCTTTATGCTGCCATGTGTGAAAGCATTTTGGACTCTACCAACAGATCCTTTCCGCAAAGGACTCAAGAACTTGTTTTATACGCTAGAGCCACAAACAAGTCACTCCTTTCTTAGGTACAGACTTGATCAACACCAATTTAAGACAGATAACAACTATATGCCATATGCAGTTGTATATAACTTGATTCCTAAAAATTGTATGCCCTCAATCATAAATATTTGCAAAGGCAATTTTAGAAAGTGCTTGAAAGAGTATAAAATTTTGGCAACATGGTAACTAACTTACTTTGAAAATGACAATTTAAATTCACAAGGTTTGTTAAACAGTGACATTACTTTATAGATAATCTGTATTTTAGGGAGTTGGCAGAAACATGATTTGAAGGTATCCAGATAATTGAGTTTTTTCATCATTTAGGATTCATATCTTTACTCTGAAATTGGTGTGACTAGGTCCTATTTTACTAAAGGTATGTGGACTTTTGAAAAATATGCTGAGGCAAACAGCAAATATTTTTCCAGTGACTTTATTTTGTTTAGTCTTGCTAATTTTCAGTCTCTTTTAGTATAAGCAACACAAAATTTATAATTTTTTCCCCATCTAAGTAGTATTAGCGTCATTTTTTTTTTAATGTGGAAGACTTTTTTTTTTTTGGTACTGGGGATTGAACTTGAGGCACTTGGCCATTGAGCCACACCCTCAGCCCTATTTTGTATTTTATTTAGAGACAGGGTCTCACCAAGTCACTTAGTGCCTTGCCATTGCTGAGGCTTAGCTTTGAATTCATAATCCTCCTGTCTCAGCCTCCGCAAGTTGCTGGGTTTACAGGCATGCAATATCGCGCCTGGCTCACAGAAGACCTTCTAAGGACAGTAAATGAATGCTAGTATTTTCTACATAAATCAGTATATAGAAGCACATGCTCCAAACTGACACCAGGAGACTAGGCTTTAACATTCAGAACTGACTTTTGATTTTGATATTCCTACTCCTGCATTTGTAAAACTCAGAATGACCTTCCAAAGCTGTTGGAAAAGGAAAATGGTGATTACAGCTTAATATCTGAGTTTCTTAAAAAGCAACAAGGACTGCTGATTTTGGCTTTATACCACCTTTCTTCTAGAGTTTACACACTCCCTGATGAGGCTGGTAGAGAAGAAATTAAGACTGAATATGAACTTTAGAATCAGTCAGACCTAAATCCCAGTTGTCTTTTCCTTGACTTCTGCATTGGCTTAAACTCTCAAGTCTGTTTCCTCTTCTGTAAGATGGGGAACAGTGTTCTTTTTGAAGGCTACTCTGATAATTCCAGGACGTGATGCAGGAACATGGCTTACTTCTGAGCCTGGCACATACAGCATGATGACTATTAAATCTAGTTCATATTAATAATGGAATTCATTATTAACTTTAGTATTTTTTCCCACACTTTAAGGAAAAGCTCTCAATTTTCAGCTATTTGATGGAGATACCAGAAACCATGTCTAAAATGAACACTTCCAGACACAGCAGGGAAAACGGACATATCCACCCTTTCAACCCTCAAGCCAGAAGCTAAAACAAACTGTAATATGTCAGGTGTGGTGGCGAACTCCTGTAATCCCAGGAACTTGGGAGGCTAAGGCAGGAGGACTACAAGTTCAAGGCCAGCCTCGGCAACTTAGGCTCTAAGCAACTTGGTGAGATCTTGTCTTAAAAATAAGAAGGCTGGGATGTGGCTTAGTGGTAAATTGCCTCTGGGTTCAATTCTTAGTATCAAAAATTTAAAAAAAAAAAAAAAAAAAAAATTATGTATAAGTTTGTAACAGTTACTATGTAGAAAATATAAAAAGGACATACAATAAAGGCCTTGTGAGGCACTCGTAGGTACTGGTGATGCAGATCATTGTGGGCCCAAGAATATCAGGGACAATCCAGAATCCTCGAATTGGAGCTGGCTGCCTGGAGGAAAAAATTCAGTTAAGTTACAAAGTGGCAGATGTAATCATACTAAGAACAAAGACATAACCCAATGATACCAAGAACAAAGAACGTAACCAGCCTGTGGCCTTTTCAGGCCTAGGCTGATAGTTACCTGGGATATGCTATCAGTGCCATAATCTCAAAAGTGGTGATATGGAAGCCTGTAATAAACCTCTGATCAGTCTAAACCAAACTGCCACTTATCAGTCTAAGAGGCCATTTACCAAGTCCCTCAGGAACCTACAGGCTCACAGGGTTTATGATAATCTCAGAGGTCACAGTACACTCAAGTTCACTCTTGATCTATCAGCTCACACGTAAATACCAGCTATATGTGTGTGTCTCATCTAGTGCCTAACAGATTCAATGAACTTTAGGGTATATCTCACATTACACATTCAGTGAAGCCAACATCTATCATAGGACTTCATTTAGTGCACCTAGCATACACTTCCCTCTAACTTCCTTCCTACTTCACCTAAAGAAACTGCAAACTGTGGCTCTCAAATGGGAACTGTATCCCTGCCAACACACTCTACAACTGGCCCCCATGAAATCCCACCCTCAGGCCACAGCACGTTTTTGTCCCCGAACATTTGTGCCATTTTCTCATCTGAAAATTGCACACTGACCAATTCTCCTTTTCCCCCTTTAGAATAGCATTCTCTAGACAGTAACAAACAACACATTTCCTATCCTCTTCCTAAAGGGGAGGGAATCTGGGAAATTCTAGAATTTTACTTTTGTTATCAGTGTGAAGCCCACATTGAGAGAGTACCCAGGTCAAAAATTAGAATGCCGCAGCAGCCTCAGTCCTATGGTTCTTTGTATTGCCAAGTCTATGATCACTGCTCACCAGTTCCTTGCTGCCTTCTCCTAGAAACAGCTCCTCCCTGGTATCCTTGACATCCTTCCCTCAGGTTCTCTCCTTCAGTGTCTCTGGCAGCCCTTTATTCACGTTTCCTTCCAGGGCTGGGCTCCTGTCTCTACCCACTGCTCATACTTTAAGATCTTCACGCAGATCTCCTCCACTTGTCTCAGGCCCTTTACTGGGTAACCTTACATTGGAGCCAGAATCATCGCTCCAATGCTGACAATTCCCCATCTCTAGTGTCCTATACAAGATCACTCCAAACTTCAGACCTATTATCTCCAACTGCTAGTAGGCTCCTCCACCTGGATGGCCTACAGAGAACATAAAACTCTAGATGCCTGCGTAATTCATCTTCCGTCTTCCCAAATTCACTCATTATGTCTCCAATTGTCTGAAAAGTATCACATTTATCACATTTATCCTTAGAAGAAACTTTGGAATCATATTTACTGAGTGGCACTCTGGTACACACTGAGTAAAAAAAAGCCCAACAGAATATACTAAGAATAAGAAACTGCTTTCTTCAAACATATTGCAGTAGTAGTGACAGACATTAAGCAAACACAAGTTACAATACAAGAATATGATAAAAAAGAACAGGAGGTCCTCTGAAGGAATCAATCAAGGAAGTCCTCTGAAGAAATGACAGATTAGCAAGAATGGTGGTACAACCTTTAATCCTAGCTACTTGAGAGGCTGAAGCAAGAGGCTCACTTGAGCCCAGGCATGTGAGGCCAGTCTACAATATAGCAAGACCGTGTCTCAAAAACAAGAGTAAGAGTTAACCAAGAGGATAGTAAGCTAGGGTCAGGACTGGGACAGAGAAAATAACATGTGGAATGGCCTTGAAACAGGAGAAAGGTTTAACATGATACTCTTGGGGTGAAGTATTCTAAGTATGTATGTACTTGAATTACTGAAATGAACTAGTATTATCATTGTATACATGGGAGAGATGAGCTTTACCTGCATGGCAGTGGCTTTGTACAAAGGATATGTTCTACAAAGCATTTCTGTTCTGTAGCAAGTTCTTGTAAACTATCCTTATCTTCTTCATCTATAAAGGAAAGCATATAAATTAATTGATGCTTAGACAAATCTCCATATTAAATGCAATTAAAAGTACTTTTATCAAACCATTGCTTCTAAAGGATTATTCCCTTCTAACAAATATCCTTACTTCAGGCGTCTAGATTTCTGCTGTGGAAAGGAAATTAAGGTTTTTCTTGGTCAGGTTGTAAATGAAGAAACGTTTCACTGAGAATAATCTCAGGAATAATTCCCTTCCACAGTCTTCCTTTTCAACACTAATTTTTTTTTTTTTAATAATACCCTTTGGGCTACCAAACTCTCCCATTCTGAAGTGTACAATCCAGTGGGTTTTACTATATTAATAGAACTGGATAGCCATCACTACAATTAATTTACAATATTTTCATTTCTCTAAAAGAAACCCCCAGACCTATTAATGATCACTCTCAGTTTCTACCAACTTTCTCAGAGCTAGGCAACCACTCATCTTTCTGCCTCTATGGATTTGTCTATACTGGACTTTTCATATAGATGGTATCATAAAATTCATAGTTTAATTGACTTCTTTCACTTAGCATGTTTTCAAGTTATCCATGTTCATCCATATTGGAACATGTTATAGTACTACATTCCTTCTTATGTCTGAATAATATTTCATTGTGTGGATGGATAGAGCCATTTTTAATAATCTATCAGTTGATACACACTTATGTGGCTACTATGAATAATGTTGCTATGACCACCTGTATACAAGTATTTGTGTGGACATGTTTTCATTTCTCTTTGAGTATATACACAGGGGAACTGCTGGATATATTGTAACTATGCTTAATCTTTTCCAGAACTGCCAAGCTGTTTTTCAACCACCGCACCTTTTACATTCTCATTAAGCAATCTGTTAGAGTCCCCATTCTTCCACAGCCTCATCAATACTTGCAATTGTCCATTTTTTTTTCCTTTTGGCCATCT